TCCATGGCTGATTCATGTCAATGTATGACAAAACCCACTACAATATTGTAAAGTAATTAGCCTCCAACTAATAAAAATAAATGAAAAAAAAAGTAGCCTCACTGGGTCATCTCAACAACGACAAAAAAATTCAGTGTTTGGAGAAGGGGAAATATCAGATGACATCCTTTATATGCAGAGTTTATAAAGAAATAATACAAATGAACTTACAAAACAGAAACAGACTTAGAGAACAAACATGGTTGCCTGGGGGAAGGATGGGGGAAGGGATAGTTAGGGAGTTTTGGATGGGCATGTAGACACTGCTTTATGTAAAATGGATAACCAACAAGGACTTAGGTATAGCACACGGAACTCTGCTCCGTCAGCCTGGATGGGAGGGGCGTTTAGAGGAGAATGGATACATGTATACACATGGCTGAGTCCCTTCCCTATTTACCTGAAACTATCACAATGCTCTTTGTTAATTGGCTATATCCCAATACAAAATAGAAAGTTAAAAAAAAATTCACTGTCTCACCCAATTCATCTTGAATTCTACTGTAAATCATCGACAATTATGCTATGTATTAAGTTCTTCTAAGTCCTCTGCAAAACACACACGAGGATACATACACAGAAACACAAGTATATTTCCTCCTTTCTTTAGCAATACTGACATCTCCAGTAAAATAACAAAAGTGAGAAGCATTTCATAATTGAAAAGAGCTACAGAGTGTCCATATCTAGTTGTTCAGGATTCTGCTTTGAATTGACAAGAATCACTAGTTGGTTAAGTCATTTTTCTAACCAAACTAATTTCTCATAGGGTGTGATAAGGAGCCAAACATGGGTGTTACAGTGATTTTTACCTTTTTCTCACAAAGGTATGTGAATGCCAATCTGACTAAGAAAATATAAAACATGGTTTAGTAATGTAAACAGAGAAAAGACTAAGGTGAAAATAAACAGTGCAGTTATTCTTACAGTGAAACTTCCACCCAGCTCCAGGGCCAGAAATGCTTGCTATGAGAAATTTAAGCATCCCCATCTCATTCATTCATCCATCCATCCATTCAACAGATTTCAAAAGGAAAATTCAGTAAGTTTGCCAAGACATTAAATATATCTGATGTAGAAATAGCAGCCATGCAACTAAGATCTAGGATTCATTACAAATGTAGAAATATTAGGGCTTTAGAAAGCAGTTTAGATCATAATTTTTGAAGATTATATTGTTCTTCCCGTCATTTTAGTAAAGGACTTGATTCTGTAAATTTAGTATTTATAATAAAACATTTATCATTGTTGTTCTGTCACTGAGTCATGTCCAACTCTTTGCAACTCCATGGACTGCAGCATGCCAGGCCTCCCTGTCCTTCGCCATCTCCTGGAGTTTGCTTAAACTCATGTCCATTGAGTCAGTGATAAAACATAGCATAACATTAATTAAATATACCATTCTTCTGTTACCTTGAATTTACCCTGAGTTGTTTCACTACTGGAATGCACAGCTTTTACAGGTGTGTTTGGTACAAATGTATGTTCAGGGCACATGATTTATTCTGAAAGAAGCAGCTACCTTCTTGTGTATTTTTTAAAAACTAGACAGGAAAATAGCACAACTTTATATTTGTATAGAGCTTTAGGTCTAAAAAATGGTTGACAAGCCTCAGTACATGTTCAAAGACATGCAGAAAGGGGACATGATCACTCAGCACAGCGCGCACAGCACCTCAAACCCACGAGGCTCCAATCCAGCAGGACAGGCACGATGACTTCCAAGGGGGCCGGACTCACGAACCAGGACACACCACAGCGGCCTGAGGAGCTCAGACCAAGAGAACGTCACTCTGCAGCTGAAGCAACGAGTGGGACAGGGCCCTTACGGAGACAACACCCAGAGATAGGGAGAGAGGCAGGAGAGAGGGCACTGCGGCTTACACGCGTTCTAGAACTTAAACAGGCAGCGACATGTAGTTATTGTATTTCATGTAATGGTTTTAGCACCTCTCTTACATCACTCCAGTTATTGGCGACTGCCAATAGCCATTAGTATACATGCACAGCAAGCAGTGCTATATAAACTCAGACAACTTTACCAAAAAAGTCTATTGATATTAAGCCATTAGTTACAATAAAAATAAACACAGACTCCCTTGCATCATCAGAGGCTGTCCCAGAGCTTTCCCAGTGGCTCAGTGGCAAAGAATTCACCTGCTAATGCTGGAGACATGGGTTCGATCCCCGGTCTGGGATTCCTACATGCTGCAAAGCAACTCAGCCCGTGTGCCACAGCTATGGATCCTGGGCTCCAGAGCTGGGAGCCACGACTGCTGATGCCCACCCACCCAGAGCCCAAGCTCTGCACCAAAGGGAGCTGCTGCAGGGAGGAGCCCAGCCCCTCAGTTCAAGAGGAGCCCCGCTCAGCACTATAGAGAAAAGCCCTGCAGCAATGAGGATGAAAAAACAAAACTAAAAAGAAAAAGAGAGCCATGAGCAAACCAAGGAGATGTGCTACCATGACCTCCCTCTAATATCTCATGTCACCATCGTGAAGTCACGTGTTGGAACTGGCTGTGAGACGGCTGACAGAACCAGACGTCTCAGTGAAATCAACCCCCAGCTCAGGGCAGGCGCTTAACAAATACTCATGAGGGTCCATGGCCATGAAAAAGTAAAGACTTTAAGCCTCAGTGATGTGAAATCATCGGGAAATGAGACGTATTCAACAGTGAGCAGAGCAAAGGAAAGATGGGGTCGCCAAGCCTAGCTCCGGCCGCCCTGAGCCAGCGATTTGCCAGAAGACGCCTCCTACTCCCATGCTCAGCAGGGTGAGGCCACTCTTTGTGCTGAGTGTGGGGCTGGTTTTGTCCCAAGAGCACACTGCCACCAGAAAACAAAGTGAAAGATTTTTTTTTTCCCCAGCTGGAAATGTTTTAGGACCATGAAGAGCCAGAGCTTGAATCAGAAAATCATGAGCATCCCTTCAAAGCTATCATAATTAACTATTTCATTAGTGACTTTCAGAAAAGAAACAGTCGTATTTCTCCACCTTGCTGACTGAATGTTTGAAAAACTCAAATCATGAGACTCTATACTCCTTGATCGTGGTATGCGTGTGTGCGAATTCATTCAGTCATGTCTGACTCTTTGCGACCCCATGGCCTGTAACCCACCAGGCTCCTCTGTCCATGGGATTCTCCAGGCAAGAATCCTGGAGTGGGTTGTCATGCCCTCCTCCAGGGGATCTTCCTGACCCAGGGATTGAATCTGCGTCTCTTACATCTCCTGCATTGGCAGGCAGGTTCTTGATCCTGGCAGTATTGCAGTTTTTCCAAATATGACACCATTGTCCACTAGATTTGATGTCAAATATTTTGAATCACTTCTAGAGTTTGTGAAGGATTTGTGTACCTTCCATCAACCAAGTCCTGTCTCTAAAGCCATGTTCATCCAATGACATGTCAAAGAGTCTGTGTGTTCCGTCATCAAAGAGAAGCAGGAGGGTGGGTATGCAGGAAGGGGAGAGGGAAAAAGATGAAGATCCTTATAAAGAGGGAAAATAACAAGGAAATAAGATCTGCTGCAGGTTTCCTCAACCTTTACTTAGTCAGACTGAAGACGGCACATGTGACAAACAGAACCATATGTCAGCTAATAACTCAAGAACACTCTCGAGAGAGTTTGACTGTGTGCGTCTTGCCGCATGACCTGGGCAGCTGTGCTCGAGCTCAGCCTTCTTTCTCACACACTATCGGTCGTCCCCTTGCTGTTAGAAGATGCTGTCGCCTCTGCTGCAGTGACCTGCCTAGGAGCCTCCCCTCTTCTTCTAATTTCTCCTTACTTTCCTGGGATTTCGAAATCAGAAGGGAGAGCCTGCGTGGTAGATCACATCACTGTCCCTGATTATTTGCTGCTCTTGTGTAAAGGGTTATGTGCTTCCACCCACTGCCGAGGAACGTGGGGGACAGTGTCCTTGTGGAGAGAATGTACGTCTCTCCTCCACGGGCTTCACGTGCCCTACTGGGCCCCGTGGACTTGAGATGGAAGTGAGAAATGCCTCATCCAAGCAGAAGCTCCTCCGAACCCGGCCAGAATCCCCGGGATGGACACGTGACTCAATCCTGCACCAGGATGTCAGCAGGACGTAGGGGCACACACTCTCTGCCCTCAGCTCTGGTCCCTCTGCCCAGGATGCAGACTCAGTCCTGCAGATGGGGCAGCCGGGACGTGAGAGGTGTCAGGATGCACATTGCTATGCAGAATGACCGCGTGAAGAGAGAAGGCCATGAGATGCTCACAGCCGGCTAAGGCGCTGAACAAAGCAGAGCAGACGCAGAGCCCCACTGCCTGGCTCCACCCTGAGAAGGGCACGCTCGGATCAGGCCAGCTCCTACGCACCAGACTCTAAATGAAAGTGCCCGTGGGGCAGGGAGCACTTGGCCAACAGTCAGCATCCTGAACTAAGAAATGCACAAACCGCTGAGGCTTTCTTTACTCATCACAAACTTGCAGAAGCTGACTAAGTCAGGCAAGTTACAATGGAATGCAGAACAAGAGGAGGGTGAGTTAGGGCCCGAGACCCTCCTGGGAGAGAGTTCTAGCAGTTCCTTCTGGGCGTCCCTCCCCCTGACATACACACCACCCTCCAGGTGGGGAAGCTTCAGCAGGGTAACCAGCTGTTACCACTATGAATGGTGACTTCCATCCCCTTCATCTGAAGTCCCCTCACCCCTTAACTTATAACCCGTCAGATACACAACAGCATGTCTGTTTTTCAGAGGGTTAAAAGCTGTTGAGGGGGAAAAAAAAGGTAATAGAACTTTTCTATTACACAGCTGGCATCTTGTACACAGAGAAAAAACCAATACCCTTTGCCAGATTGCATAAAGGTTACTCTGCAATCCAAATTCAAATTTTAAGAAAACATTGTGCTTACACTATGAAGTAAATAAGTCTTCAGGTTTTGAGAACTAGAAACAAAACTGGTCTGGTTCTTCTTTCCGTCAGCTCCTTACCTTCTGTGGACTCTTTGATATGGAGGCGCTTGTTGAGTTCATCCAATTTGTTCTTCATGTGTGAAAATAAAAAACAAACAGAGAAAAGGGGAAAGAAAACAGATCAGAAATGGTCTTTCTTTCCAGCTCCCTTCTCTCTATTCAGTACCCAGCTAAATTCAAAATAGGATCCTAAGCTTCACCAATATCACACACTCTATAAAGTGTTACTACTTTATCTCAAATTGACACTGAAGCTCTACTTCTTAGCCATCCATGGCATTGAACATTCTATTTAATCTCTTCATGACTTTGCTTCCTTTTCCTAAAACCGTGGATAATCATGGGACCAGCCTCCCATGTCGATGATGAGGATTAGGGCACATATATATAAATTAACTCTAATATTGCCTCAAAAGTTTGGATTAATCTCTAGGTACACTAAAGTGATCCCCAAACAAATTTATAAAACTGCCTTTTCTAAAGTAGAAATGGAATGACCCAGCAATCCTGAAACTGTCATGACTCAACAATTCCATTTCCCACTGTAGATCCTGAAGACATTCCAGCGTGTGTACAAAGACATTTGCAGTAACGTCTACAGCAGTATTGTCTGGAGGCTGTAACAGTTGGAAATTACCAAGCATCCTCAAGTAGCAAAATGAATAAAATCATGATGCAGTAGTTGTACTATTATGCATTATCATAATTATTGATATTAGCAATAAAAATGAATGAGATAAAATTTCATGTATTTGTAAAAAAATCTTAAAAATACAGTGATCAACATATAGATGCAGGATACATATGTTATAACAGTATTTACATAAAAAATATCCAACACCCAGGGGACTTCCTTGGTGGTCCAGTGGCTAAGACTCCACACTTCCAGTGTAGGGGCTGTCAGTCAACCCCTGGTGTGGGAATTGGATCCAGAATGCTTCGAGGAGCAGCTAAAAAAACACCTTTTTGATAAAAAATAAAATATTCAAAACTATACTGTGGGTTATTTTAGGGAACCATGCTAAAGGTATCTTGATACATTCCTTGAGGTCCGTGTGGAGTGAAGGTACAGAGGCCTCCGTGGCAATTACACAGCTCCCTCGGCGGCTCGGTGGTGAAGAATCCACCTGCTAATGCAGGGCACTTGGGTTGGATCCCTGGGTCAGGAAGATCCCCTGGGGAAGGGCATGGCAGCCCACTCCTGTATTCCTGCCTGGAGAGCCCATGGACAGAGGAGCCTGGAAGGCTGCAGCCCATGGGGTCACAGCCAGAGCCGACTGAGCGACTGAGCGCAGCACAGGATATTAGTGAGCTTTGAGGCAGGAAGGAAGTGGGGTTGGGGCAGGGGTGTCAGTGGAGCTTCTACTCCATCTTTACCGTTTTCTTTCTCATGATGTCTGTATTGACGTATTCATTTTATTAATCTTTATACCTTTTCTGTATGTCTTTTTTTTTTTTTTTAAGAAAAGTAATCTTTTGGAGAAAACCATTGAGGACATAAAGATGATCTAGAATCCCTCCAAAACAGTTTAAGATAAAAGAACCAAAATATTTCTTGTTTCCCAGAGGAAAGGCAATTCAGAAAACAAAATCTAATAGATGTCTCTAAAAATATAACTGGAATTCACTTCAAAGACCATTTCCTGTTGACTTGGGCAACTGAACTCCTCCAGCTGAAGTCTCAGAATTCCCTACTTTAATTAGCGCTGTTAGTTCTCATCAGGAGCTAAAGTAGGAGGCGTTAAAGGGGATGGAGGACTCCCCTGGCAGTACAGTGGTTAAGACTTAGCCTTCTAATGCAGGGGCTGAGGGTTCAACTCCTGGTTGGGGAGTTAGGATCCTATATGCCCTGAGGCCAAAAAACCAAAACATAAAACAGAAGCAGTATTGAAACAAATTCAACAAAGACTTTAAAAATGGTCCACATTTAAAAAAAAAAAAAGAAAACTTAAAAAGATAATGAGCTCATATATAAAAAATAAGGCACGGGTGGAGGGAAATGAAGCAAACTTCCTGTCACGGTGGGCCTCCCAAACTGTGTCTCCCAGGCAACAAGGAACCCTAGAAGGTAGACAATGGTGGGGGAGGGGGGAAGACCAGTAATAAAACTATTTTCCATTTTTCTGAGGTCTAATGGAAAGATCACACATTTGCCTGTAATAAAACCACACACGCAAAAATCGTGGATTGCTTTGCTTTGTGTTGGAAGCCTATCAACTCAGTGTGGTAACATTGGTTGTATCCTGCTGTCAAGAGTACTGACTGGCAACTTTAAAGGTCATTGATCAACATCAAATTCAATAAGCAAGTCACTACCGGCTATGCTCCAGTACAAAGGAAAAGCTGAAAAATACCCCCTGGGGTTCTGAATGAGATTGCTTTGAATCTATGGATTAATTTAGGAAGAACTGCCATCAATACTGAGTGCTTCAGTGAATGATGAGTATCAGATCATTTACTTCAGTTCAGGCGCTCAGTCGTGTCTGACCCTTTTCGGCCCCGTGGACTGCAGCACGCCAGGCCTCCCGTCCATCACCAACTCCCGGAGTTTACTCAAACCCATGTCCATTGAGTTGGTGATGCCATCCAAGCATCTCATCCTCTGTCGTCCCCTTCTTATTTATTTAGGTCTTCTTTAATTTCTCTCAAACTGTTTTCTAGTTTTCAGCATTCCTAGATATTTTATATTTTTAACACTATTGTAAATGTTTTAAAATTTCATTATCCAATTGTCTGTTGCTATATTTAGAAATACAATTGATTTTTACATATGAGAAAAATATCATTACTGGACATGTGTTTGTTTCAATAACTAATAACTGTCCCAACCCGCTGTGTGGGGTAGTGCCTCTTTGCACGCCCACCCCCCACCCTGTTGCCCCCTTCCCTCCCCTGCCCTGTGCCTGGAAGACTGATGTCTAGGGATGCATCAAAGAGCAAGCTTGCCCTTTGGCTGGGCGCCAACAGCAAGCGGCACCAGCAGGGGTGGCGAGGATGTGTTTCCACCCCCAGCTTCCTCTCTACCAGGCTGCGGTGTATTCACTGCACCCATCAACCAAATTTCAGTCCCCTCCTACAGGCTTCTTTCTCCATGTGCTGGTAACTGTCCCTCCCCTTTCTTGTTGAAATCCAGATTGGTACCCTGGGAGCCCCAGGCGTCTTTACCATCCCTCCTCGATTTCCCTCTACCCTGCCAGCTTTGTAAATAGTCTTCTCATTAAATGTGATTGAAACAATCCCTTTAAGCCTCCTTGAAAAACCTCTTCTGCATGGGCCATCTGTTTCCTATTGGGACCATGACTGTAGACATGTGATCCAGGTTGAAAAAAAGAAAAACGTTTGGTTAGGAATTGTGACTCCACAGAATAGTATGAATTTTGTTCTTTGCTCTTCATTATCTACGCCTGTGCTGTCCAATATGGTGGCCAGAAGCCACTAAATGAAATTAAAAATTTAGTTCCAAGTGCTCAAAAGCTATGTAGCTAGTAACTACTATTTTGGACGACGCAGATAGACCACGCATATCATCAGAGAAAGTTCTATCGGACAGCACTGCTCTACACCCAACAGGCTCTTCCATGATAAACAAAAAAGATTACTTCTACCTTTGGCTCTAGCTTATCATCACAGGTACAGCCCAAGTCAAAATCAGACTGAAGGTACATAATTCCTGGGTAGTTGGGTCTAGTGACTTCCTCTGGCATAGTTGGTCTGAAGATGTTGGTACGCAGGAGATGGTTCAAACTCCCGTGGGTCCCGTTATTCGGAGCTGGCTTCAATCCCAGGAGATCTGATGAGAAGAAAGAAAAGGGCCAGGTACTTTGTAAAAATTTTTGAAGAGACAAGTGGAGAGTCAAAACCATTCACCTCCCAAGGGCTGGAAAACTTGGAACACAAATCAGAATGGGATACAACCAAATTTAGACGGTAGGCTCCCTTCTGAGTTCCTAAGTCATCCTTGCCTGATGAGGTCTTGGTAACAACTTTCTAAAACAGCATCTTCATGGCCTGATATCAAGAGAGACATTCCCAAAAAGAGTGAAGGAATAGCGCCTCGCTTCGCCACCCTTTCTGTCTGTGACAGCTACAGCCCAAGGACCATCAGCATCAGGACCACCGCCTTTCTGCTTCTCCGTGAGACTTTTATCCCGAGTTTTGAAGTGGGGCTTATGATCAATAAATAACCTCGAGCCTGCCCTCTCATGCACAGCACAGAACGGGGACAAGAGTAGGTTTTGGCCGTGTGCCCTGAAGGGCCGCTGTGAAATGAACAGGCTGATTTCACAGCGAGTGAGGCTGCCAAGCAGGCACACAGGGACTGGCCTGAGCCGAGAGGAGGGCCGGGGAGCGCCGGCAGCCCAGAGGGGAAGGGAACCCAGGAGACCCGACGTGCAGACTCCCCCTCTAACCGCCAGACTGGCACTCCCTTACTAAATAGGAAAAGCTGTCCTCATCCAGCAACTAGAGACTCCAGGAAGAAAAATAATTAGGAGCACATAAATAGCTGGCCAGGAGGTAAGCTGGCAAGCCGTGTGCTGGGCTGCGATGGGAGAGATGGAGGTGGGGGAAGGTTCTCTGCCGAGCTCCCACTTCACCCGGCCTGCGACCGGTGGTGTCAGACTGTAATGCTATGTTAGATCAGCCGGAGGCTGCCAACAGCAACACCGTGAAAACTCCCCATTAGTCAACTGTTGAAGGAAGACAAAGAAGTCTTAGAAGGGGGATGATATTCTGTCCCTTGAACCAATGGGCAAATTACAGCATTTTTTTTTATGAAAAGATGAGGTGATCCCAGAAAACAGACACCTCATTTCTTTCTCCGACATCGAAAGGAGTTCATATGTTAACTCTGGATTGTTTTCCTGGTTTTGATGAAATAAGTGACTTACCACACATAACATTGTAAAGTTCAATGTTTTCAAATGGAGGCACTTTGGTCTTGTACTTAAATGTTGGGCCATAACCTACAAAAACAGTCTTCCAAAAGAAAAGAAAACAAAAACAATTAGGCATTGCTAATATCCAGGAGCAACCCTCCCTCGAGTTAGGAATGCTTTGCAAGCTTCACTCACACCTCCGTTCCCATCCTTTTTCAGAACCTCTACAATACACTTCGATTCATAGTTCTGGGAGCATACCTGCATACTGTTGACCTTGTTATCAAATCCATGGTCTCCCTGGAAAAAACATTTCCCTGATGGTTTCTTATAAACCTCCAGAGGTTTCCTAGAGCGAAACGATTGTACAATCAGGACTTCTCATAAAATCACTGATAGAAAAAAAAGATCTCTAGGAAGTGGATTTTACTGATACAAGCGTGTTCCTCTCCACTCTCACTGCATCATTCCCAGGGTGATGAAAGAAGAGGCTGTCTTTTTGCCCCAGTGCTCTGCTCTGACGTTCCGCCCAGGACAGATTGGGACCTGAGGCCTGGCGCCCTCCTCCTGGCTCACGGACGCGCTGCTCACAGGTGCAGACACAGCCTGCAGGTGCTGCCCGCTCTGTCCCAGGCCGGCCCCTTAAGAGACTCTCACGACAAAGTCACACGAAGCGTTTGGTTTCCCGGTACATATAAAAGTTAGATTTACACTATCCTGCATTAAGTATGCAGGAGCATTATGTCTAAGAAAACAATGCACATACCCTAATTCAAAAATAGCACTGTTGGAGAAAGGGCACCAACAGACCTTCTCGATGCAGAGTTGCCACAAACCTTCAGCTGTCTGCCCACGTGCCCCACTGACTGAAAGATTCTCTGCTCTGGGACCAGGTCTGTCTGGCTCACTTCTAATGTGCCCGTCAGTAGGCTCCGTGCTAAGCACACACCCAGCTGGCGCTTTTAAAATGTGTGATGTTTGATCAGTGAACGGAGATCTGTATTCCACAGAAATATTTGCATACAGATTTCCCTGTCAACAAATGTATCTGGTAATACCGCTGGGAAGCTTAACACACGCTGGTAAGCTTAACACACGTGATAGTGGCACCGCTTAACAGGAGCCAAGCCTCACCGGGGCAGTGGCTCTGTTTAGAAACAGAAAACGGAAACCTGGCTCTCGAGACATCAAAAGCATTTGAACTTCCTTGTTGTGACAGGAAGATGCCTTTTGCTTAGAGTCATGTAGCAGTTTTCCAAAACACTTACATGTTTATTAAGACAAATATTTCCTAAGTATGTGCAGGTACATGGCACTGAGGTACAGCACTTGGGGAAAAACAAAGAAATTGAATGTTTGAGTCCTTGATCTTGGGAAAAGTACTTTCACCTTGGGGTAATATGTGTGTATACAGCTCAACAGTTCAAGTTAAATTGAGAAGATGTGCTGCTAATTAAAATGGCTGGCTTTGGTCTATGCTAATCTGCTCAACTGTCTTCATGTTTTACTCAACTTCTACTGAACTCCCAAGTTTTCTTCATCAAAACATACGTGTCCCCTGCAATGGAAGTGTGGCTTTTTAACCACTGGGTCACCAGGGGAGTCAGGAAATTTCTTTTTATAATGTCTAATGACCTTACAGCAATGCAGCTGCCTTATAGAACTACATACAGTGGGGGGTTAGTCGCTCAGTTGTATCCAACTCTTTGCGACCCCGTGGACTGTGGCCCCCCAGGCTCCTCTGTCCTTGGGATTCTCTAGGCAAGAATACCAGAGTGGGTAGCCATTCCCTTCTCCAGGGGATCTTCCGACCCAGGGATCGAACCCAGGTCTCCCGCATTGCAGGCAGATTCTTTACCGTCTGAGCCTCCAGGAAAGTCCTCGGGGCCGAGGGGATGGTTATGAAGGTGAGAAACAGGGACTGCCTGTCCCCGAGGTACCTTGCAACATGCCATCTGCGCTCCACCAGTAAATGGACGTCTTCAATCCTTCTGTTGTTGGCATAGTGCAAACGTTTGGGAAGGTGCTGTTTCATGTAAGGCTTAAAGTGCTGGTCTGGTTTTTTACACTGAAATATAAACAGATATTGAATTTTGCATGGAGAGTCTTCTGGAAAAGCCCAAGATATTCTCTCCAGAAAGCTGAAGGAGGTTTTAAGTCAAAGGAAAGGCTAATTAATAAGTAAATGGAATTTGTGACCCCCCTCCCCATCAAATAATAAAAGCGGAAAACACATAGATTCAAATGGGATTAGGTAACGTTGAAGACAAGGCTATGGTTTTTCCAACGGTCAGGTATGGATGTGAGAGTTGGACTATAAAGAAAGCTGAGCGCTGAAGAATTGATGCTTTTGAACTGTGGTATGGAGAAGACTCTTAAGTGTCCCTTGGACTGCAAGGAGATCCAACCAGTCCATCCTGGGGGAGATCAGTCCTGGGTGTTCATTGGAAGGACTGATGTTGAAGCTGAAACTCCAATACTTTGGCCACCTGATGTGAAGAACTGACTCACTTGAAAAGACCCTGATGCTGGGAAAGATTGAAGGCGGGAGGAGAAGGGGACAACAGAGGATGAGATGGTTGGATGGTATCATCGACTCCATGGACATGAATTTGGGTGGACTCTTGGAGTTGGTGATGGACAGGGAGGCCTGGCATGCTGCGGTTCATGGGGTCGTAAAGAGGTGGACACGACTGTGCAACTGAATTGAACTGAACGTTGAAGAGGACATGGAAGGGTATCACAGAGGGGAGTTAGACGTTTTTAAGATATGTCCCTGACTCGTGGGACTGTCACACAGAGCAGCTCAAACCCCAAGGCTTTTCTCAAACACTCTAAGTCCAGGGGTGGGGTGGGGGGTGGGGCAGAGAGGAGGGAGCGGTGAGGTTCACGAGGTCACCTCCTCAGGCGCTTTAAAGCTCTCTAATCTGGATGGTGGAAACGGAATGGGGCTTGCGCAGACCTGGTTCAGAAAGTGCAAGGGTCTATTTAACCAAGGATGAAGGCTTTTCAGCCCTAATGGCATGATCAAATACCCCCATTCTGGATCACTGCCAAGACCATTAGGGAGCCCGCTGCTGTTCATGGGCCAGGGTTTCTGAAAGCTCTTAGGGAAATAAACACACTGGATGGCAGGGCGGTGAGGAAAACGCTCCTCTCATCCTACAGGGAGGTGAGCACAGGAGGTGAGTGTGCGGAAATTACTCTAAGGGCAGAGTCCCGGGATATGCAACACTTACCGTGAGATTAGCAATAATGACTTTAGGGTCATCTGTTCAAAGAGAGAAGGAGAGAGAGTTCAGAAGAGTTGACAAGAGTCACCGAGAGAAACCAATGTTGCAGCAAGAATCTCAGTCCTTTTCTTTTTCTTCTGGAAGAGTTCTTTAGATTTTGTTTCAAGTACATGCAAAACTCTGTGTGGGTATTTAATAGTTTAGTAAATGAAATACATCAAAATAAGTAGAAATTCCGATGGTAAATGTCCCCGCTAAGTCTGGGTCAACTTTCCTGAAAGGGAATTCCTCCTTTCAGAGCACCAGGATGTTGCTGGGTAAAAATGTTGCTTTTTAAAAATTCTCCCAGCCGACTCACAGACTTAGAGAACTTATGATTGCCGGGGGGGAGGTTGCAGGGAAGGGATAGTTAGGAAGTTTGCAATGGACATATACACACCACTATATTTAAAGTGGACGACCAACAGGACCTGCTGTAGGGCACAGGGAACTCTGCTCGATGTTAAGTGGCAGCCTGGGCGGGAGGGGAGGAGGCTTGGGGAGAATGGATACATGCGTATGTATGGCCCAGTCTCTCTGCCGTTCACCTGAAACTATCACAACATTGTTAATCAGCTATTCTCCAATATAAAAGAAAAAGTTAAAAAAGACCCTCCTAAAGGGTCCCTCTGGAGCCTGGATTGAGTTTACCTTAAATTAAGCATCAGGAACTACACTGAGGCATTGGGGCTTTGAATGGAACTCCCTATGTAGCTGTAGATCTTTGAAACAAGTGACCGTTCACCTTTAAGATGGATCTTCTAATCCACTGAGTTATTTTTTCTAAAGGGAGTTTGGTGTCCTCAGTAATATCACAAGTCTAATGACACGAGTGGCTGCCCCTTCTCCGTCTCTCTCTCTCTCTCTCACACACACACACACGTACGGACAGACCTCCTTCTCACTACCAGCAAATAAAGGATATTTTCGTCAATATCCTGAACTAGCTAAAAGCAAAGCTATGCAAATAATAGCTGTGTGTAAACTGTGGACAGGAGTGTATGATCTGAAGGTCCCCTTTTGGGCGTGGGGGAGTGGGGAGAAAGAGGAGATTGTAGGTTGGTTGGATTTTGTTTTGTTTTCCAAAAATTTGCTTCAGCATGTCATTATAGAATCAGCAGAAAAGGAAAGCAGCGTTCGGAAGAGATACGGACAGGCAGGGGGGAGCTGTCCCCCGAATGTAAACACCCGCGGAGCAGGTAGTGCCTGTCATTTCCTGCTGCATCCCCCAGGCCCGGGGCAGCGTCAGCGCGCAGTAACCGTGCTAGTAAACAGAAGCAAAGACTTGTGGAGGCTGGTGCAAATACACTAGTAAGCTTGCCTGGCCGCATAAATGTGCGCTCTTCAAAGACAACGTTCAGAATCTTACTTCTAAAGCTATGAAATTTGAAGATAAATGTGGATTCCCTTCTACTTAAATTGGACTTAAAATTTAGCTGCATCTTTCAAAGGCAAGGAGATAGGTAACAATGGTAGCCGCAATCATTAACCCAGATCGCACCCACACCGCATGCAGCCCCTCTGTAACAAAACCGCAGGCACCGCCTCTCTGGTCACTCACGACAGCTCTGCTGGGGGCCCTCACTGAGCCAGTGGGCATTTAGAAGGTGGGGGAACGCGCCAACCGGGACCCTTTGGCAAGCCATGCTTTCAGCCTCCTCACTCGGTGACCTCGTAAACCACAGTCCTCAAAGGGACCAGAGTGAGTTCATATGCTTCAATAATGAAGAAAAATAATCATTATCTCAGAAAATCCCAGAGAACTTCTAGGAAACACCAAAGGCTTGAGCCCACGTGTGAGACACCAAGCCTTCAATCCTGAAACACTCAGCTCTCATGCCACCAGCCCCTCGAGACGAAAGGCGCCCAGAACCTCAGGACGGGGCAGCAGCTAAGAGCCAATGAAGCATCTGGGTGTGAATCCCAGCCCCACCGCTCATTAACTGCCCCCTTAGCCAATTACTGCATCTCTCTCTGAGCCTTGATTATCGCTGTTTATAAGAAGAGATGATAATACCTGTCACGCAGGGCTATTGGAAGGGTTCAGTAGGATGTGTATATATCTGGCTTAAAACATCATCACTGTAACTACCATTTATTTTGCTTTGACTCTGTGCCCAGCACTAATCTAAGTGATAAGTAGAGAAGCTAAGTAGAGAATCTCTCACTCACCCTTCCCAATAATCATGTTACTGGTGAGGAGACCAAGGCTCAGTGTTTAGGAAGCTTGCCCACGGTCATAGAGGCAGGCAACCAGCAGAGACTTGAACCCGGATTCGAGCCCGGACAGCCCATCACTGCTGTCTGTGCGCTCACCCGGCTTCTCTGTGGCCTCTCACAAAATGGATGGACGTGTTTTTTAAGATACAAGACAGTTAATTATTGGTAGTTACCATTTCACTGGCCCCAGGACAGTTTTTCTTCCCCTCCCCCCAAAATAAACTTCCTATTACTTTTAGAGATGTCTTGAATATCTTTAGACAAAACCTCTCTTGCATAAGCCCTAGAAAGCAAATACTAAATCAGGAGGTACCCACGGGTCCCTCTGGCGAGGGCCAGCCTATCTCCAATGAGCAGAGAAGAGAGGACGCAGAGGACCAAGAAGGCGTGAAGAGAGGGCAGACACACCCACCCTTTTGTTTATTTCTCAGCGTTGCCTGGAGCTGACCTTGGAATGCTTCCCGTTTGTGTTGACTCAGGAACATCCTTTGGGAAAAACTTTAATTTTCCAAAGCTTTCTGCTTGGTGCCAATGGTTTCTTATTCCCAAGAATAAAAATGCTAAAGGATTTTTTTTTTCTTTCCAAAATGCCGCATGTCTCTAATAAAACTACAGACTTCTCTAAAGCTAGGTGGTTGGGCAACATCTAAAATATCTTAGCCCATAAATCAAAGTTCTCCGCGGTGACTTATCATAACCCCAATGTGTAAAACAGAAGCGATAAGACTATTCCTGTTTATTTTATTTCTGATCTTCCGGAACAGCTGCCACTTTTCAAGGGCTTCATAGCTTCTCCTGCTGGTTTCTGTCAATCACCTCCCATAGGTGAGGAGATCCCCTTCATCCAGGCTCCCGGGAAACTCCAGGCTCTAGGGGCAGCTCTGCCAACCCTGTCACGGACGCCCTCACTTCAGCTAAAGAGTAAGAGCCTCCGGTTGGACGTTCTTCTCTTGTAAACAGAAGTTTATGGTTATACACATGCCTCAAAGTAAGTGTATTTTCCACATGATAAAAACAAGAGCAAATATTTATATAATGCTACCAGGGGTCAGGAACTATTCTAAGCGATACCCATAGATTTATTTTCACAACAACCCTATGAGCTAGTTGTTTGTTATCACCACTTTATTCCCCCTCAGATTAAAAAACAAAAAAACTGAGGTTTAGTTTCAATGACTTATTCAAGTTCACTCGGCTAAGAAATAGCAAAGCCAGGCTTTCCCTCAAGTAGTCCAGCTTCAGAGAACAAGCCCCTTCTCACTCCACTGTATTACCATTCTAACAACTTAGTGTTTTACGAGTCAACTTACATTTAGCATGATTGTTGAATTTGGGTCGAATTCTTCCTAGAGTTCCTGGCACTAAAATAATATCATCCACATTAGTCAGGTAATTGCTCAAGAATTCTGTTCTATCACATGTGACATCTTCCATTCCTATAGGAAGGGGGGAAAAAGTATTTTCAGGCAATTATAAAATTAAAATCTCAACACAGACACTAAAGATAATATTCAGGCACAAGTGAATGTGAGGATCCCTCTCTTGAGATTTCTTAACTTGACTTTGGATTTTTTAGTGCTTCTTTATATAATCTTTTCACCAGACTTTTGATTGAGTCATATCATCTTGCAGCACTAGAAGGCTGAAAATGCATCATCTCAGTTACCATTTTAAGTCATTCAGCAAGAACAAGATAAAGGAAGCAACCATGATCTTTTAAAAAAAAAAAAGATCATTATGAAAAAGATAAATTCGTTTTTAAAAAAAATCCCAAATCGCTTTAAACTCTTTCTAGCTGGGAGTGATGCAAATTACTGGAATGTATAGTCCTGTGTCTCTTTTACAAAAATCTCCTTTTCCAACTCTCTCTCTTCTCGCTCTAATACATCTCCTGACTTGAGTACATAAGCACCAGTCCTCATTCTGCCTTCACTGGTGGCCTTGGATGTTACTGACCAAACAGTACTGGAAATAAGAGAGAGAAGGAAAAAGGTCAACCCCAGTGACCACCCAAACTGAAAAACAAAACAACACTGTAAACAATGCAATCAGTTACAGCTGAAAGCTAGCAACTAGAACACAAAAAGGGTCTAGGTAGCGAATTTTTTAAGTCAACAAATACTATATCTGCCCACCAATGATTTGCTACCTGCCTCTCATCAAAAAAAAACCAAAAAATTCCTTGATCAATGATAAAAAATAACTAAATAAAAAGAAACTCAAATTTTAGAATGACAAATCATGGAGGCTGGAAGAGAACTTTATTGTCATTTCAGAATTTACGAGATGAGATGAAGTTGGAAAGGTTTAATATATTGCTTTGTACAATCCACTATCTGAATATTCTTTAAGAGGGGGAACATAAATGATTTTTTTAAGGATTCCCTAAGGTTCTGGAATAAGCAGAGTGGTCCTGATCTAGTAAAATTTAAATTATCACCTTCTGGGATCCCAGATTCAAACCCCTTCCTCTTTTTAATACAAACTGGAAGGAAGTAACCACAATCTTCAAAGAAAAATCTATTTATACAGTCCTTATAAAAAATTTTTTTTAAAAGCCCCAGATTGCTTTAAAATATAGATAGAAAAATATATCCCAACATAGCACAAGGGCTTAGATTTGCCTTTTAACATTTAAAATCTCTGGAAGAAAACTTAAAACAATAGACAGCTATATGTTCTAGTACAATGTCTACTAAGGACTTCCCAGGTGGCTCAGTGGTAAAGAGTCTGCCCATCAATGCAAGAGACGCTGGTTCAATCCCTGGAGCGGGAAGATCCTCTGGAGAAGGCAATAGCAACCCACTCCAGTATTCTTGCCTGGAAAATTCCATGGAGAGAGGAGCCTGGTGGGCTGTATAGTCCACGGGGTCCCACAGAGTCAGACGAATTAGACATGACTGAGCAACTGAGCAGGCACGCACATACAGAGTCGACTAGACGACAGCGTTCATCCAGGAAGGGCAAGTCCCTACGTACATATGAATGGGAGACTAGAAGGATCTTTTTAGTGCTTCTTTATATAATCTTTTCACCAGACTTTTGATTGAGTCATATCATCTTGCAGCACTAGAAGGCTGAAAATGCATCATCTCAGTTACCATTTTAAGTCATTCAGCAAGAACAAGATAAAGGAAGCAACCATGATCTTTTAAAAAAAAAAAAGATCATTATGAAAAAGATAAATTCGTTTTTAAAAAAAATCCCAAATCGCTTTAAACTCTTTCTAGCTGGGAGTGATGCAAATTACTGGAATGTATAGTCCTGTGTCTCTTTTACAAAAATCTCCTTTTCCAACTCTCTCTCTTCTCGCTCTAATACATCTCCTGACTTGAGTACATAAGCACCAGTCCTCATTCTGCCTTCACTGGTGGCCTTGGATGTTACTGACCAAACAGTACTGGAAATAAGAGAGAGAAGGAAAAAGGTCAACCCCAGTGACCACCCAAACTGAAAAACAAAACAACACTGTAAACAATGCAATCAGTTACAGCTGAAAGCTAGCAACTAGAACACAAAAAGGGTCTAGGTAGCGAATTTTTTAAGTCAACAAATACTATATCTGCCCACCAATGATTTGCTACCTGCCTCTCATCAAAAAAAAACCAAAAAATTCCTTGATCAATGATAAAAAATAACTAAATAAAAAGAAACTCAAATTTTAGAATGACAAATCATGGAGGCTGGAAGAGAACTTTATTGTCATTTCAGAATTTACGAGATGAGATGAAGTTGGAAAGGTTTAATATATTGCTTTGTACAATCCACTATCTGAATATTCTTTAAGAGGGGGAACATAAATGATTTTTTTAAGGATTCCCTAAGGTTCTGGAATAAGCAGAGTGGTCCTGATCTAGTAAAATTTAAATTATCACCTTCTGGGATCCCAGATTCAAACCCCTTCCTCTTTTTAATACAAACTGGAAGGAAGTAACCACAATCTTCAAAGAAAAATCTATTTATACAGTCCTTATAAAAAAAATTTTTAAAAAGCCCCAGATTGCTTTAAAATATAGATAGAAAAATATATCCCAACATAGCACAAGGGCTTAGATTTGCCTTTTAACATTTAAAATCTCTGGAAGAAAACTTAAAACAATAGACAGCTATATGTTCTAGTACAATGTCTACTAAGGACTTCCCAGGTGGCTCAGTGGTAAAGAGTCTGCCCATCAATGCAAGAGACGCTGGTTCAATCCCTGGAGCGGGAAGATCCTCTGGAGAAGGCAATAGCAACCCACTCCAGTATTCTTGCCTGGAAAATTCCATGGAGAGAGGAGCCTGGTGGGCTGTATAGTCCACGGGGTCCCAAAGAGTCAGACGAATTAGACATGACTGAGCAACTGAGCAGGCACGCACATACAGAGTCGACTAGACGACAGCGTTCATCCAGGAAGGGCAAGTCCCTACGTACATATGAATGGGAGACTAGAAGGATCTTCCATTTTCTACCTTTCTAAGTCACTTAAGCTGCCCCAGTGGTGAAGCATCTCTCTTGCTTCAACGTGCTTCTCGAGCCTCGTCACGCTTCACCCCCCAGGCTGACTCTGGCAGTGGTGTTGGTGCTCTCATTCTGCAAATGAGGAGGCTGACTTGGAGAGCCTTTTAAGTGGCACCGTGTAATTTGAACTCCAGTGCAACCCATTCTCACTCCAAAACGCCAGACAATGTTACCTTCTAAGAAAGAGAAGCTATGCCGTCTATTCATTTCAGAAGGCTTCCCACCAGCAAGACATGAATTTTATCTAGCCAAGACTTTTACAAGGCTCCAGCAGTGACTCAATGGAACCCATCTACTTCTTAGACATCTGGCTCCACCACGTGACCAAATGTCCTTGACACCTCTGGACCACTTAAGTTGAATCAGCTGTGTCACAGGCTCCAAATTCTCTATCCAATCTGCAGCTCTCCAGCAAGTCAAACTCTTGGGGCACAGTTCTGCAGACAGTCACGTTTAGTCCCTGCAGAAGAGCAAGTTAATCCCAGGGCTCTTTTTTTTTTTTTTAATTCTCATAGATCTTCTAGAACATTCTGTAAAGAAAACTTCAGGCCCAGAGCAGCGGTTTGATTGGGGAGATTTATTTGCCCAATCTTAACAGAACCACCGGCTCAACCCATTTTCTTCTTCTAAACCCTCCTAGAAGGGAGCAGCCCATTTTCCAGAGTCACAGTCTCAAACTGTTAGTTCTGGAATGCAGGAGGCATTCTCTGGAACTCAGTCTGCATACCTGTGAAGTAAGAATGTTCTCTGATGCATCCCTCCCCCGGCTCTATCAACATACAATGTTTATGATGCTCTTGATCCATGAATTTTTCTCCTTTATACAGTGATTTGGAAAACTGCTTCCTAAACTGTTTCTTCCTCTCTTTAACAGTCATCTCTATTGAAACAGGGTCCTCTGGCTTGGGTCTAGAATTCACTCAGTGAATACAGGGAAATAATTTCCCTTATATGTCACTTCTATAGCAGAAGGCTATGTCTCCACCTTTTCATCATGTTCAAATTTATATTTTAGCCATATGAATCATGTGAGCACCTTTTAGGGTTGTGACTAGCAGTGATATATCATATTCACAGAGGAAACTCTTACTATCACAAGGGAACTGTCTGCAACTGTTTTGTTTTTGTTTTTTTTTTTTTTTGCACTGCAAGACTTATGAAATTTAGCTCCCTGACCAGGGATTGAGTGAGCCTGGGCCCAGCAGTGAAAACGCTAAGTCCCAACCATTGGACCACCAGGGAATGTCCTGTAACTTTTTAATAAGAGACAGATTTTGTAAGAAAGGCTTTTCCTACAAAGACTAGGAAGATACAGGAAGTCCCTGGTTTTGATTGACATGAACGCAAGAGTAGTCTCAGCTCATCTCATAGTTTTGAGTCACGGTCCAATTTCTTTCCCCATCCGAAAGGAAGGGGGAAGGAAGAAAAGGAATACAACCTGGGATTTCTGGGATTCCCCAACACCACCAGAAACCTTATCTGCTTAGATAAAGAAAGTTTTACCATGGTCTCCAACGAAGATGACATTCACACAGCGATGCAGCTTCAGTTGTTTCAGTCCGTCCATTAACTGTCCCACGGTTTTGTCAATGTCCCTCAGAGGATTCGTCATCTGGAAAAAGGAGCAAATTAGTCTCTGAAGGTTTTTTTTTCCCTTTCAGTATCTCAAAGATCTAAACATGCTGGAAAAAAAACTTCAGGCCCAGAGGCAGAGCTTTGTCTAGGGAGATTTTCCTGTCATTCTAAATGGAAACCTGGTCTAAGCGCTTTTATTTGTACACTTTAAGGAAAGTTAAACCTCTCCTCATCCAATCCCTTTCAAGATTCTTTGACACAAAAATTGAAATATTAAGGGCAATTCTTTTCTTTAGAAATAAAATGGCCTTTCTAAAAGATAACAATGTCCTTTACATCCAAGAATGTTGAGAGTGAGCAGAAAATAAGACGGACAGTTTGAGCTCCTTGACCCCTGAAAGGGAAACCACTTAGGCTTTGAGCCACGGCAAGAAGATGGAGGCCAAGGGGATCAAAAGCAGCTCTGAGGTTAAATGGCAACCTTTCACTAATGATGCCAAACTGGAGCATCATTAACACGATGAGACCCATCTAGTGCTCCAAAAAAACTTAACTGTCAATTTCTGACACTAGATTCTCAAGAGAAGGGCCTCTCCTAGGAAACAAGCTACTCCTTCTCAATTTAGCCCCTTTCAGGCTGATCAGGAGTAAAATACGAATCTATAAGAGTCCAAACTTAAACAGAAGTGAGTCACTGAGCTTGTCCTAGAAAGTTTCTTATTTAGCCTAATGAAAAATGAAAACTCAGTTCTCCAGAGAACATTTCCAAAGCCTAAGAATCATAACTCATCTCTCAAGTCCTTGCTTCAGATGGCAGTTTCTAACAGCAAGAAAGTGAAAGAGTTATTCACTCAGTCGTGTCCAACTCTTTGCTACCCCATGGGCTGTAGCCCACCAGGCTTCTCTGTCCATGGGATTTCCCAGGCAAGAGTACTGGAGTGGGCTGCCATTCCCTTCTCCAGGGGGTCCTCCTGACCCAGGGATCAAACCGCCGTTTCCTGCACTGCAGGCCGAGTCTTGACTGTCTCAGCCACCAAGGAAGCCCCATGGCATGAATGTCCCCATGTATTAGAGGCACTGGGGACGTCCCGCTCAGCTCTGGGCAATAGAGAGACTTTCAAGAAACACCCCGTCAGCCAAACACCTGACAGTACTTCAGCCGACTCTGACAGCTGAGCTACAGCCACACACATCCGCTCAAGGTGCCTCCCATAAGAACGGAAGGGGTCCGCATAGCTTCTTTCCTCAGACACATGATACGATCTTCCACTGGCATCTTCTCAGAGCACTCAGGATCTTCCTTCATACAATGTCATCAGTAAAGTCAAGGTGTAAATCTGTTTTCCTCTACGACAGAAGTCAGTATTTCAAATTCTGTCCCAAGGAGTAAGTCATGAGAGAAAGCTTCAGAGCGATGTATGCAGCGTAATCTGAAGAGACTAACTGAGGGTAGACAGGGGTGTTTGCTTCTGAGGAAACCATGCTCACCTCTAAGGCCTTCATTTAGACAAAGAAATACCAAAGCACAACCTATATCAACCCCTGGCAACAGATTAATTTCCTTTGGTCAACAAGATGACTCAGGCTAAAACCCAGAACCTACTTCTCAGTGATCAGTCCAAACAATAAATTAGATAGTGCCTTGGCGGTATCTGGAGGTGTCTGGAAAAGGAACAGCCTCGAGGCTATTGTGAAGGTAATGAAGGGAACACGCTGCCCACATCTCTACAAGAAAACGCACCCGCCTCTGCCCACCCATTGTCTCCTCTCTCCTTCCATTTCACCTCTTTCCGTCTATCACCTAAGACTGCCTCTGAACTCGGCACAGACTGCTAACCTAATCCCCTACTCTACTGAGCTAATCTACACCGTCTTTGAGGATTTCCCCGACTACCTTGCTGGGTTGTTCTCAAGAACCAAGGTTACAAACTGTGACAAATTCTGTGGAAAAGTGCAAGCAAAACCAACAGCTCTCTTAACACTCGTTCAAGCCTAAATGTTCACATTAGTTTGGGGGCAACTAACTCTAAAGCAAGTAGAAGGGTGTTTGTTTTTTGGCTGAGTTCAGGAACGCGTCACATGAGTGCTAACCTCTGAAGTGCTACATGTTTCTGGACTCAAAGCCAAGGGAGACACACCAAATGTTTTCTGAAATGCATTCAGCTGGTTTTCAAACCAAGGCACTGAAGGGAACCTCCGGGCTGCCCGCCACAAATCTTTGGAACAATAGATAAACTTACTTTGTCCTGACGAGCTTCCGCGGCATAATGATCCATCCTATGTACTTTTCTTCTTCTTTTCTTTGGAGGAGTAACTGGTCTTTCCTGTCTCCTCTTAGGGGTAACCTTCCTCTTAGGTCTCTTAGCCGGAGTAAAAGGTGAACCATAACTACTCTCCTGTACTGGCGGATAGAGATGTGTGGACTCAGAAGCCGTCTGTCCCTCTGGGTCAGATAATAAAGCTCACATTTTGCCATCTAGGCTCAGTGAAGTCGTAGTGAAAAAACAAAAGGCAAACTAAGACTCCTTCTGAAGTGATTAAAAAAGAATTGTTATGAGGGGTGATTTGGGGAACTCTAGAGAGAGAAGCCTCCTAAACTGAACTCGATGTTGCTGTCACAGCTTCTTCACTGAGAACAAAAATATAATTTAAGAGGACCTGGTCGTGTGATCTCTTTTGGCTGAGGAGCCTACTCGTGGATACACCTGAAGGTGACACAGAGTTCTGTATTCCACAACTCCTGCGTCATGGAGAGGCTGGTCCTTGGTTATGAGAAACTCTCCATTTATAAAGTACTCGCTGAAAAATAAATACTAATCACTCAGTCATTTCAAAGTGCAAAGGGATTCATGGATGTAGTTTCAATTCGGATTCAGACAGGTATCTATTCAGACCACCAAATATATCCATGCAACTGTCACCTTCCTTGGAAAGGATCAGGAAAAAAATTTAAACCAAGGATGAAATGAAACATAAATACCAAACAATCCTCCTTGGTCATGAATATACCGATATTTCCACAAATCAGGAGAGAGTTTCCCACTGATAATTTGGGTTTCTGGTAGAGAGGAACTCCAAGCCAAGAAATAATCATCAATAGAACGGTCATTTTAAAAAAAAATTCTCATAAAATTAGATAAAATGCAAAAAGTCATCAAGATCTTTTTGTCTTAGTATATTTATATCAAGAAAGAGTCTACTTATCCTCTTTCTGTTAGAAATTCCCCTCTTGGTAGCGGTCTGGAAGGTAGCGACTGACTAAGCATCTTGTTTTGAACTTCTCTTGGGTGGTAAAGGCTGATACGTAAACTGAGGAAAGATAACCTTTTCGGACTTCCAAATGCTGGAGAAAAACAAGCCCCTGATTTGCGGATGGTGCAAAGGTGACTTAAAGCAGCAAGGCCTGCCGTCCACCTAGCTGATTTCTCTCGGGGGACTGTTCTGAGAATCATTCAGATGCAAGAAGGGGCAAAGGAGGGGTGATGTTAGTGTGTCCCCGGGACGCGTCTGCCATGCGGTGTCGCTGTGTCCAGAGCAAGCACTGCAGAGACACTGCCGTCCCATCCTCTCTCCCACGGAGGATGGACAGACACAGCACCTCCCCAGACTCTGGTTTGGTGTGCTTGCTTGTTTTTAAATGCTTCCGGTTTAGCCAATTCCCCATGAGATGAGAAGCAAAAGGAAAAAGAGAGTTTACCATTTCATGGTCACCAAACACATTCAGCTAGCGCTCAAGTCTGCCCATCAGACACTCGGCCATTCGCAAGAGACCTCAACATTCCGGAGACTCCAGAGGCGAGCCCTTCCGATCGCGGGGTTAGAGGAGCAGCAGGGGATTTAGGCAAAACGAGTTTCCATCCAGGGGTCATACGGCACGCATTTCCTCCTTCAAATGTTAGAGGTGGACGCAAGCTAAGTTTTCACTGACCAGCCATACTTTAGTCTGACTTTAGAAGATTGAGCCTGAGGTTATTAAAAGGATGGGAAGGAGAGGGGGCAAATTTCCCTGCTTTTCAGGATACTTTGCCGTCTGAAGGTAGTAACTAGCCAGCCAAAGCTCTGCCTCCGGGCCTGAAGAGCAGCCGAACCAAGAGTCACGGAGAGAAGCACAGAAGGTCAAAGGTTACGCCAAAAACCAAAAGCAAGCATGTTTTCAGAACATTCACCATTACGCTTTGAAACCAGGAGTGATACACCACTGCCTGGAGCTACACGCCCCACGTGTGGTCATCTCATTTAATAACCTTTGCGAATCATCCTGAAAAAAGTATACTCAGATATCAGGCGAAGAAAGCGCAAACGTCGGCTGTACTGGAGCAGACGACATGCTGCCAGATTGAATCAGTCTGATTGAATTTCAGACGCAAGGTATGTTCCCAATAGACGTAAAAGACAGCATGTTACTGATTTCAACAATAATCTTTCAGCCAGCATAGTCTTTGTATGCTCAATAAAGACAAGTGAGAAATATATATTATGAGGTAGATAAACCAATTCTGTCTACCACACACACAAAACGAGGTTTTTCTGGCTTTGGCTTCATGTTTGAAAAGTATAAACTGTTTTGTGTTTCTCTCAGTAAAAAATAAGATTTCTAGAACCAAATGAGAATTAGTTGAAATCTGAAAATACCCCTTTCCTCTTAAGGGAAGAAAGTGATAAAGTTCTCAGGTTATCGTAACAGAAGGTACATTCCAACATCTCATCATAAATGTTTTACCCCGTGGATATATGAGAATATCCCAGTTATAAGAAGCATTAATACTAAAAAGAATATAGCAAGAATCCTTCTAACTCTCAATTCAGAAATACTCAGGAAAAAAAGATTTATATGTTTATGAGAATCCTAAACCTAGAACCATCATTACAGCTAATTAAAGCATCCTGTATTATGCTTTATTTATCACTGCTCAGTACTTTAAAAAAACTTTTAATTCATTTCTCAATGAAAACACACACACACTTTCAAGTAAGTAATTATAACTTAACTATGTATATGAGAAATCCAGAGATGTTTGTGGATAAAGAACATTCACTGCTGAGCCTTATAACTTTTAAGGAAATGAAAATTATAACAGTTATACCTTCTGTGTATTGTTAAAAAGTCACCTTTTGACATAAAGAAAACGTTCTGTGCGGTTTGAACATGGCTGTTAATGGATCACTTTGCTTATCTCCCGTACTACAGGAGAGTTTAATGGTTCTCTGGTCTGGGAGTCAGAAGTTACATTTCCAAGTATACTTACCAGCCAAGCAACTGGAGCAGCCCTCCTAAAGTACCAGCCTCTTGCTTTTTAAGGAATGGCTATACCCATCTCTGTTTGCCTCTGTTACAGTCTTTTAGGGATACTATTATCCAAGCAAAAGCGAACCTTTAAATAGGGCACATGGAACTGCTTAGGGCTTGGTGTGTGTTTTTTTTTAACATCTTAAAAAAATGCGGCTCCTTTTGTTCACTTCAGATTAATCTCAAAGAAAATCATCCTAAGGATAAAACGGCCATGCTTGCTCTGGCAAGAATAAGTTCTGTGTTTCATGTATGCAGATGTTTGTCTCGTTTTATCATTTGTGTTTCATAATCATGTGCAGCGGTTAAACATCAAAGGAATAGGAAAAAGAACATCGAACTTACATGACTTCAATGATTTAAGGCAAACTAAGAATGGTTTCACATAGCCGCTAGTTTCCAGAGCTTAGAGAAATCACCACTGAACTGATGCTAAAGCATTCAGAAGTATTTATGGTTCTCAGTATTTACTGCCTTTGTTTAAACATCCTGCATTTTGATCAAAAATACTTAAGCCAAGACGTACTTATCTGTATTTCCTTAGTCATTCTTATGCTGAACATGAGAAACTTAATTATAGCCAACAGTGCTGCCGTTGGCTATCTGAGAACAGGAGGTATTTTCCATCGTCGAAGAGTTTGTGAAATAATTTCTCATCCAAAATCAAGTTTTATTATGTTGATGTAGACCTCAGCACCCCAGGAAGAAAGAGTGGTGGAAAACATTTAAAATATTAAAAGATTTAGATTCGCAAATCCCAGCACATTTTTAAATGATCTATGCTGAAGTACTGGGGAAATTTCCATCACTTGATAAAAGAGCAACATAATAAAATCTCACCATGCCTTTTCCACCTCCAGAATTTGAAGTTCTCCAGCATACTACCTTACAAACTGACCTACTACGGTTCCCGAGTGTTTGCTATAAGGGTGTCACACTGCTTTACTAAACAGATTCATTCAATAGTGTTTTTCTTGCAATTAAGAATTTGTTTCACCTTAGGGGGTGAGGGATACGTTCATAGTCTTGATCCTGGTGATGCTCTCACAGGTATATACCTATGCCAAGATTCATCAAACAAAAAGTGCCCAGTGCTACAATGTGTTCCAGGTCACCTGCACCTGCGAAGGCTACTGAGCTGACCTAGCCTCTCTGACCCGCACTGCCTTTCTAAGGGAGTTGAAACTCAGTCGCACGGCCTTGCACTGCAGGTTGCATCTCTAGATTCTTTTCCACTCCTATCCCGGTGACGGCAAAGGCCAGCCCTTCCCGGTCCTTCGTCTTCTGACTGATGCCTGCAGGACTGGAACCTATGAACACCAAGTGGCTGGAATGTATGAACACCAAGCTGGAAGATAGGAACACCCTCCTATGAACACCAAGTTTAGGATATGCTTGCATAACAAATCAATCTGAAATGAAGTTCCTGTAAGAAAAACAGGTATGTTTAAGATTCTTTTAAATGTTTTCACTCTTGTAGTTCTTTGACTCTGTATCTACCGTACACACACCAACACGCTAAGAGACTTTGTGCAAATCCTGAAATCAGGTCAGTAGACGAGGCGGCCCAGGGACATAGGCTCTCAGGCAGAAGATAAGCTACTAACCTCAGGGCCAAAGGGGCCATACTTGTGTCCAGAGAAATCAGGCTGTTCGGAATAGAAGGCATATACTGAAGGCCTACGGGAAAATTGGAAGGTTCAGAATCTCCCCCAAACCACACACAACAAAGAACATCACTTATCCCTACACATCACCAAAACATCCTTGCAAATCGAGTTAACCACCCAACCACTGTTAGTCTTACCATGAAAAAAGTCTCTTTCTTTTTTTTTTTTTTTCTGTTGTTTTCTATTATTTCCACATCCACCACCCTCTACACCACCCCCACTGTGGCAACTACCCGGTTACTACCTTCAGAAATAAAAACTCACGAGGAAAATCTGAATGCAAACTCAGGTCTTTGATCCCTAAAATAATAGAACCCAGTGAGAGTTCACGGGGCCATGCAATCTGCAGCCTGAAAGAACAGCTCCACTCAAGTGAAAATAATCAGTCTTTTGGGTTGGGAGTTTGGGATTAGCGGATGCAAGCTATTATCTACTGAATGGACCAGCAATCCTTACTGCTTATATAGGACTGTTTATATGTACACCACGGGGAACTACAGTCAACATCCTGTGACAAACCATAATGGAAACGAACATGAAAAAGAATGTGTGTATATACACACACATATAAAATGTGTACCTGAGTCACTGTGTTATGCAGTAAAGCTAACACACTGTGAATCAACTACACGTCGATAAAATAAAACCTTTCCACAAGTCAGTCTTCGTGCTTTCCCAGTTCTTGGGATGCTGCTGGTTTATTTACCAAAGCCAAGAAAGAACTCGCTNCAGTAAAGCTAACACACTGTGAATCAACTACACGTCGATAAAATAAAACCTTTCCACAAGTCAGTCTTCGTGCTTTCCCAGTTCTTGGGATGCTGCTGGTTTATTCACCAAAGCCAAGAAAGAACTCCCTCGAGCTCTGCTGTGGTGACCAGGATTAGCACCTGGAGTAACCCGCGTAACTGAGCTGTCCTCAGCCACCTGCTGTGGTGACCAGGATTAACACCTGGAGTAACCCGCGTGACTGAGCTGTCCTCAGCCACCTGCACCCACTGTGCCTGAACCCCTCTTAGGGAGGTCGCGTTTAAGGCGCAAACTGCAGAACCAGCAACAGCGGCGGGCCTTGGCTGTGCCCCTGCTGCACCGCCCATGGCGGTGTTCGCCCAGCTCCACCCCGAAACAGAGACGCACTCACGCAGGGAGCGAGCCGGGGAGGGGGCAGATACCTTTCGTGGTCCGGCAGGGTCAGCCACTGCAGGATGGTCAGTATCCTCCGCTCGTGAGGGATCACCCTGTGGGGCAGCAACCAGCAAGCGTGAGGTCAGGAGGCACCGCTACGGACTGCAGCCTGCCGAGCGCCTGCTCCTGCACCCAGGCCAGCGGCTCTCTACTTACCACATCTGTTTCCACTTCACTGAGTAAAAGGTCCCTTTTCCAATTAGTGTTTAAATGTCCATTTCTATTTGCAACAGCTCATGTTGCTCAGCCTCGGCCGCAGAAGACAAGACTGGAAACTGATTCACAGTCAAGTGAAGAATCTGCCTTGCTCACAGAGGCCTGGCCGCAGACGAAAAGGACGCCGGCCTCGGAACCCTTGCTATCGAGGGGGTAAAGCCGTTAGCTGTGGCCGCCGAGGGGCCGGGGCTCGTATCCCAGGTCTGCCTTCGGCTAGCGTGGCCTCTCTTGACCTCCAGGCTTCTTTGACCTCTCAGCCTCAGTTTCCTCACCACTCAAATAAAGACAGCAGTAACACATGCTGCGCACCTCGGCTGCGAGGATGGATGAGGCAGGATGGGCAAAAGGCATGCACAGTGCTCGGCACACAGTAAGCGCTAAAAATGCTCTTATTTTCATTAACAAGCAAGATTAGTCACCATGCTATCTCAAAATAGCTATATGACTTAAGAAACATTGTTGAATCTGAAACTTTAAGTTCCTCATCTATAAAATAAGGGGTTAGGAAAGGTATTCGGGAAATTCTCTTCTAGCTCTATAAAAAATCTATCAAGAATAGGCACATATAATTATGAGACTGACGAAAAGGGTATAATCTTCATCCACAATGACTTTGTGTTTAAGTCTCATGCCTCTGTTGAAATATAATTACCCTCAGTCTGGCACTCGTTTCAAGAGCCCTCGGCTAGCATGATAGCACTGTATCGTGGGCTGACTTAGTTACATTATGATGCTCACAAGCTGAGTGATGTCTTTATGGGGAATTTTGCTTATTCTTTCCTAAAAAGAAGCATAACATACTTTTCTGCTCCCTCATCCAAGATCAGACATTGCAGCGTGTTTACAATAAATTTAAACTGAAGCCCAAATTTAACTGTGGATAGTAAAAATGATTGTGGCCAAGAGTGAACCTTAATGTAAACTGGTCTCTGGGTGACAGTGATGTGTCCATGGAGGTTCCTCATTTGTGACCAGGGTGCCACTCTGGTGGGGGATGTTGGTGCTGGGGGAGGCTGTGCCCGTGTGGGATGCGGATGGAGGTATTGGGTTGGACAAAAAAATTGTTCAGGTTTTCCCCTAAGATATTACGGAAAAACCCGAATGAACTTTTGGGCCAAGTCAATATATGGGAAATCTTTGCTCCCACTGTTCAGTTTTACTGTGAACTTAAAACTACTCTAAAAAATTAGCTATTAAAAATGTATCATGGGATACTGGGTGAGCCATTTCAGCTTTCAGTCTTGGTAGACACGAGCATGGGCTAGCCGGGGGAAAGACAGAACTTCAGAGTCACGGCTAGCATTGGCAGCTCCACTCAGCAACCTCCCCCAGAATCTGCCCCCTCCCGCCCCCATCAACACCACCCTTCCCCGAGAGACGCTGGGTCTGCCATTCCACTCTCTGACCACTTCTCTGTCTAGAACTATCCTACCAGCCCAACAAAATCATGTTTGCCATAAAACAAGTTCTCATTTACACAAATTCCAATGCTACTAAATAAGCGTGATCTTGTTTATTATATCCTATAATTGAACTAGAAGTAGGCAAAGCCAAGCCGGGTTAATCGCTTGAGGTATTTAATTCCTCAGCCTTAGAAATCCCCTGTATCTGAACAAAATAATTACATATTTTGAATTCTTTCCTAACTTAAAAGAAAAGCGAGTATCGTGGTCTTTTCATTGTGCCTTACTTCACTACCTACCTACAAGCTGCTTTATTTGACGTAATTGGTGTTAAGTCACAAAGATGGATTCTGAAGGACTCAGTTGATGCTAATAGAAAAATACAGATTAACAGAATTTGTTTCAAGCTCAGACTGCTCACCCTTTACATGCCTTCTTTAGACGGGGTACTTGACAAGTAGGGGAAGAAACATCAGCTCTGAGGTTTACACTGGTGATGTGACTTTGGCAAGCTACTTAACCTGCTGTTGCTCTATAAAATGAGCTGTCTTACAAGGTGGTTGTAAGGATTAAAGCACTCGAGGCGTGTCTGGCACATTGAAAACTGTGGGCTTCTATCGTTATGGACTGGATTCGTGTGTGTGTCAGTCGCTCAGTCGTGTCTGACTCTGTGCGACCCCGTGGACTGCAGCCCGCCAGGCTCCTCTGTCCGTGGAGTTCTCCAGGCAAGAACCCTGCAGGGGGCTGCCATTTCCCTTCTCCAGGGGACCTTCCCGACCCAGGGATCGAACCCGGGTCTCCTGCACTGCAGGCGGATTCCTTACATCTGAGCCACCAGGGAAGCTCTGGATTCACGGGCCCAGAGAAATGATACGCTCACTCATGAAGTATCTGTTAAAGCACATTACATTCAAGGCATTTGTGTGAATATAGTAAGGATACAAGACGTTCCTACCAAAAAAAACCCAATACGGAAGAGCTGCCATTCTCTGCTTGGAGAGAGAAGCAGGCAATCACCCTTCTCTGGGCGAGGGCATGCGTGTGGTAAGAGCGCGAGATAAGCAGGTGGGGGCCTGAGTATCCACTGAAACCATAACCTTAGCCACAACACTTTACCTGTCTAAGCCTTGGCATTCTGATCACAGATGTGAGGAGTCACACAGAATGGTCTCCGAGTTTCCCTGCAGATCTAAGACTGCCTTTATGAAAAAGCCTCAGAGACTAGAAAAGACACGGCCCCTAGCCATGAATGTTTAAAATCTGATGCAGACACAGTACAAACAGATCTGACAAAGGAAGAGTGTACTCCAAACAGAAAGGGATTCATGCAGTTGTCTCACCATTACCAGTTGATACAGGGTTTCTCATGCGACCAAGCACATTAGACATGTTACAAGAAGAAAAGGAAATAGGAAAAAAAAAAAAAGGAAAATGAACTAGATGAGGTATTCAGTGTTAAAGGGGAACAAATTACCTTAGGTCATACATAGATAGCCGTTGTCTGGCCATTGTTGAGACATAATGTGAATAAGAAAACAAGTACCATTTGTTGGCTATTCTCTATGTACTAAGTGCCCTCCTAAGGACTCTAAGCAAGTTAATTCATTCTATCTTCATGACTCCCTAGGGTCAAGACACCATCACTCCCATTTAAAGACGAAGACATTGATTTGTCAAGCGATTAAAACATTTGTCCAAGGTCAGCAACCTGCTGAGCACCAGAGTTGGGACTGGAATCAATCCGACTCCCATACATAAAGGGAAGCACTGCTCTGAGCATGAGTCAATGGTAAAGAACGTAACGGAGACACAGCTGAGCGTGATTCTGAAACGAAATACTATCATTTGAAAAGCAAGGCTAATTCTGGGTTGCAGAATGGAACCAGGTAAAAAAGATGACTTTCAAAGTCCAAGTCTATGGTTTGAATCTGCTTAAATTTGAAAATTTTCAGTATGGATGATATGTAGATTTCCTTGACATATATTCCAGTAAATACCTGGAAGTGTGACCTTTTTTTTTAAGTTCTAAAGACATTTTTTTTTTTAAAAGAAAGAAAGAAAATGAATCCAAGTCACTTCCAGGATACAGAGATAAAGGAAGAATAGTCTGAGAAGCAAAGCAAAACTACAGACGTCTTTGGAGCACACAAAAGCTACCTTCTTGTAAGGTCTGAAATGGGTGGAGAAAGTCACCATTCAGAACCAGAACACTAAGCCTTTTCAATGAAGCGCTGCAGCAGTTTCGGGGGGTAAGGGTGAGGACTGAGTATTAATTATACTGTTGGTGCCTCTCCGTTCTGCCAGCCAAGTATGTTGTGGAGAAGAAGAAATCACTTCTAAAAGCATCAAGGACAGCCAAGGGTTAAAAAGTGTTATGCATAAGATTAAGCTGGTAAATCAACATGTCACTTCTACCATGCACATTTTCTCAGCCAAGAAGATCTCTTTTTAAAAAGGGGAGCGGGAGACTCTTAAGGGACACTGTCTGTCTTAGCTTCAAATCACCAAACCCAATTTCAATTTAGCACTTCAAATCTGAAAAAGCTACCTTTCTTCCTGAATTTTGAGAATATAGATGGTACCATTCTGGATTAATCTGAACCTGTGATTGCTCTCAGCACTCTACTATTACAGAATAGTCAGATTTTTGTTACGGCATAAGAGGCAAATATGGAAACAGCTTTAGGTGGTTTAAAAAAAAAAAACAAGATGGAAAGAACGTCTCAGTGGGAACAAAATTCCCATGAAAGTTGAAACAGATTCTTTCTCTTACTAAGGAACCTCAAACATAATCAACATGTTGACACTTTTATTAGGTAAGTTTCATCTTAAGACTGTTTCATGAACATTAACTACTAATCCGCCCCATCACCTCTGTGGGGAAGAGAAGCAGTTTCTTTTCTCTTATTAAGGAAACCCTGGAGCTCAGTAGGAAAATGAGGGAGAAACAGAGAGTTCCTCTTGGTCTCCTGTCTGAAGTGTCCAGTCTCTGGACTACTACATCAGCTGTTCAACAACACATTTGATTTTTAAAGCTGTGAACCAAAATAAATATAGAATGTTGTAATACATTTATAGAAAATGATAACTCAAATCACAGCGATAAATAGTTTGAGAAATATACATTCCCAGGTGCCAAGTTACCAAAAATCTACAAACAGGAACAGAAGACTCTAAAGGATGACTAGACGTAGAAGAGAAAAATCTTCCTTCCATTCCATTAAGAAAAGGTGAGGGGAGAGAGAGAGAGATGGGGGAGGGAAAGAGAATCGAGATGGAAAAAGAGAGAGAGGATCCGCCCCAAAATACCTGGAGGGTTATCTTGAGTTAGAAGGTACTAACATTTACATGTAAATGAAATCAAATTGAATGAGTGTGTCTTAAACTAAATCATAACTGTAATTTTACAAACAGTGACAAAATAGAGGTAACTTACACAGGCCAGAAGAATGTCCCAGCGTTCACCCCTTGCTTCGTGGCTGTAATCCATAGCTAATGAGGAAAATATAAGAGGCTTAGAACATGTTTTGACTTTTGGTCAAAGAAGAAAAAGGTTTTAAAATATATTAGCTCAGACATCTTAAACTTTACCCATACCCTACCATAAATCTCCCAATATTTGCAACTTTTTTTTTCACATCTGGAAGTCAGAATTATTCTTTCCATAAAAGTTATTCAATACATTCTCTGCAAAAGCTTTCAAGCTCTGCTATGATTATAGTGGCTTTAAAAAAAGCAACCCTTATTTCATCTCAAGAGTCTCTTCTGTACCTGTCCCTTCTGATCATCGTTTTGAACATTTCACTTTTATGGCAGAATTCTGCTCATCAAAGGACCTCAAGTGACCGTATGTTTCCTTGACTGTTGAAAGCCTAGAGAGAACCCCAGTTTGGCACACAGATGCCCAGATTGCGGAACCCAGCTTTGCCTTATTTTATACTCAAAGAGGTGAATGAAATAGGGCTGGGGAGAAGATTATTTTTTATCCTGGATTTCTGCTTGCACCTTTTACTTAGCCTTTTAGTAAATGGAACTTTAGGAGTGAGTTCCTAGGGTAAGTTAGGTGACCCAAGCATGTCATTAAGTCTTCTAAAATATTCTTTTCAGGGACTTCCTTGGTGGTCCAGTGGTAAAGATTCTGCAACTCCGCAGCAGGGGGCGTGGGTTTGATCCCTGGTCTGGGAACTAAGATCCCACATACTCCATGGTGTGGCCAAAAATATGTAGGTACATGGATAGAGTGTATATAACACATACAAATATGTAGATAGATAGAGTATATACAATACATACAAATATNGTCTGGGAACTAAGATCCCACATACTCCATGGTGTGGCCAAAAATATGTAGGTACATGGATAGAGTGTATATAACACATACAAATATGTAGATAGATAGAGTATACACAATACATACAAATATGTAGATAGAGCGTATATATAATACGTACAATATGTAGATAGATAGTGTATATATAATGCATACAAATATGTAGATAGTGTACATATAATACATACAAATATGTAGATAGAGTGTATATATAATATGTACAATATGTAGATAGAGTGTATATATAATACATACAAATATGTAGACTGTATATATAATATGTACAATATGTAGATAGATAGAGTGTATATATATAATACATATGAATATGTAGATAGAGTGTATATATAATACGTACAATATGTAGATAGATAGATAGAGTGTATTTATATATAATACATATGAATATATAGATAGAGTGTATATATAATATGTACAATATGTAGATAGATAGATAGAGTGTATATATAATACATACAAATATGTATACACATACATAGTACCTGGGCTTCCCAGGCGGCACAGTGGTAAAGAACCTGTCTGCCAATGCAGGGGACACAGAGACATGGGTTCGATCTCTGCATCAGGAAGATCCCCTGGAGAGGAGGGCATGGCAACCCACTCCAGTGCTCTTGCCTGGAGAATCCCATGGACAGAGGAGCCTGGCAGGTTACCGTCCGTAGGGTTTCAAAGAGTCGGACACAACTGAGCGACTGAACTGAATGCATATTTTACCATAGATGACTTTTACTCAAAGACAATATTTTTTTTTCTTACTTTACATTCTCCATTTAACCCTTAGACTGTAGCAGACATCACCAGGTGGGAGCTCATTTCGGGATGGTGGGAGCTCATTTCGGGATGGTGGACTCGTGGATGTATGTGGACCCTGTCTACTCTTCCTGCCACGGCAGTCGGCACAAAAGTCTCCCAGCCTCAGTCCTGCCCAGAGTTCCCCCGTGGCCCCACACGGAGCCTGGTGGGCTACAGTCCATGGGTTCACAAAGAGTAGGACACAACTCAGCGACTAAACAGTTAACAACAATAAGGGTTTCAAAGAGTCGGACACAACTAAGTGACTCAGCACACACGTGTACACAATATATATCTATATATGTATGTGTATATATGCTTTCTAGCTCATGCTGTGGGGGAGAGAAGTTATGGCAGTTAAGAACCTGACCGTGGGGACTAGTTACTTGGATTTTATGCTTTGCCTCTGTCACTCACCAGCCATGTGATCCTCCAGGAAGCTAAGGCCTCTACATTTCTTTAAAGTGTAGATAATATTACCTAGCACATGGGATTGTTCTAAGCTGTAATGAATTAACATGTGTAAAGTCCTTACAAACATTTGGTAAACCTGGATCAATTTTCATCCTAATTATTACACAAGAATGGATATGAATATAATCGAGTTATTTCAGGTCACTGAAAACAACTTAGGACGGCCTGTGTCCCGCTGGACAGAAGTCTGGGAGAAGAAACCCCTTCACTTGAGGAGGCAGGAAAAAGAAGTGTGGTTTGGCTTTTCACAAGACCCCAAACAAAAACGGTCCAGGAACTGCGATCCCCCTCCTTTCTGGTTTCAACGTCTCCACATTCTGACAGTGTTTTATTTACTCCAGTTAAAACTTTTGTTTTGGGGGGAAAGGGGCAATTTGGAGGTGTGGGGCATGCAGAAGTTGGGCCACAGTTTCAGGAAGGCCAGGAACGCCTGGCCGAGGAGAATCACGCGAGGACTCCCAGGCCCTGGGGGAGCACCGCAGACCCCCAGCTCCCGCAGCAGAGCAGCCGCAGCTGGCGAGCGAGGGGCAGGTAGGGGCAGACACGCGCTTAGACTCCGGGAGGCCCAAGCTGCCGGCAGGCATCGTCAGCAAGAAAGAAGGGCCGTCCTCGTCCCGCAGGGATGGACCAGAGAGGTCAGGACCTCAGGCCGCGCTGAGCAGCACCCAGGGGGTTGGTCCGAAGCACCCGTCGGACACAACTGAAGCGACTTAGCACGCACGCATCTTCCACTCTACAGGCCAACTCCAGCTTATCCCCAGGCCAATGAGGACTCAAGGGGGTCCTCATTCACTCATTCACCATTCATCCTCGTGCCAGCCCCTCCACGAGCAGGAAGATGAACTCAAACTGAGTGCTGGACATCCTGCAGGTGCCTCAAAACCACCTCGGATTCCAGATAGGTCTGTTTCTGATATTGCGCTCAGTCGTGTCCGACTCTTTGTGACCCCACGGACTATAGCCGCCAGGCTCCACTGTCCGTGGGATCCTCCAGGCAGGAACACTGGAGGGGGCTGCTGTGCCTTGCTGCGAGGGATCTTCCTGGCCCAGGGATCAAACCCATGTCTCTTGTCTTTCCTACCTTGGTAGGCGGATTCTTTACCACGAGCACTATCTGGGAAGCCTTTTTTTCTTATAATAAGTGATCTTTTTGCATACTTATTTTCATTTCAGAGACATAAGCTTAATGCATCATAGTCAAGCAACTTCCTAAAAAATCTGGTGCCTTATTTCCAAGGAGGTTGTATTAAGCAATATTTGGTAGACATGAAGTGTAAGATAAATCTGGGGTTTTCTAATGGAATTTTTTTTTAAAATACAGTTTTGTTAAGAGATGACCCTACACTTTCAGAAGCTATCTTGTGGGATACATGCTGAGGTTGGCATTATCTGAGCAACAGAAAGCCCTATGAGTAACTTTTAGCTTCCTAACCCTCGGGGGAAAGATCACCAAAGGAGTCTTCCCAATGGTATAAAAAACGGGAACTGGGAGGGATGACAGATGTGTGTTAAAATTATCCTGATGGCAAAATCAGGATGGTTGGTTCTGTATACTTTTCTGTACTTAAAATTTTTGCAGTGACAACATCTCAGTAATTAGAGGAAAAAAAATTAACCAATTGTTAAAAAAAAAAACAATGACAATGTGAACTACGAAGACAAATTAAAGGTAAAATTTTTTCTTTCTTTCTTCATTTCTTTCAAGAGAAGTGATTTCTCCCTGCTCCTGGTAAAAGTCATGTTGGCCATATTTTCTAAAAGAAAATTGGGAGACTGACCAGAAAAATGCAAAAAGTGAACAAATAAGAGAGAATACTTGAAATTTAGAAAAAAAGTTTTTTAAGTCTCAAAGGAAAGAATCCTAGCAGTAATGAAGCTGGTCTGTCAAAGATCTGGCCAACAGTATGAGACTGAATGCATAAAGTTTCTGAAGTTAAATCAGATCATGAACAGCTATAAAAGTTCCTTTGCAAGTTATACGTATATATTATATTTCAGAACCCTGAAGTTAAATCTAGTAATTACAGAGGAAAAAAAGTGCAGTAAAATGTTGGTCCAAAGGAAGATACATGAAAAGGAGCCTCCTGAGCTATAAAAGTGGGGGAGAGTCACAAAACAGACATCATAAAACTAATTTCTCATTAATTCAGAGAAATGGAAATCATAATTTTTCATTTCCCACTGGGAATCTGAAAGTAATATACATTTCCTCAGAGATGAGTCAAACCACACAGCTTGAAAAAAAATTAGCTAAGAAGACACCCAGTTTGGCCTTCTGACCTTTAATCCGAGTATTTCTTCTTTTACTTTGCTTTATCTAGAGGCACAGTTTTCAACATTTGTGTCCTAGAGGCTACGTTTTGAAAAGGGAATAAATGGGAATATAAATATTGTACCTTCTTGATATGTTATCGGAATTAAAAAAAAAAACTTTCCCGCTGGGACCAGGAGCATTTAAATGCAAAATCTAACACTTTCTCAAATTCAGTAGAATATGCAGCTGTGGAAGAAGGGAAGGTGTTTTCAAAAGGAAAATAAGCAAAAAAAAATTTTTGAAAACTATGAACTGCTATTGTAGTCTTCCTAGTAGTTCTCTGCAGGGAAACAATTTTTTTTGCATTCCAAAGCACAGAAGTAGAAGAAATGGAATTCTGAGAGACCAGAGGAATGGCAGGGCCCTAGTATCAACGGGAGTAAATCAGTCACTGAGACTCAAGTGTCAGAACAGGGCTTCCCTGGTGGCCGGGTGAATAAGCATCCACCTGCCAACGCAGGAGACATAGGTTTGATCCCCAGTGCAGGAAGATTCCACGTGCCGAGGGGCAGCTAAGCCCGTGCGCCGCAACTACTGAGCCTGAGAGGCTCGCTCTGCAAGAGAGAGAGAGGCCACCACGAGGGGAAGCCGGGTGCGGCCCAGGAGCGTCCCCACGGCTCACAGCGAGAGAAAGCCGGACGCAGCAAGAAGACCCCGTGCAGCCAAAACAAATTAAGTTTTATATGAGGGCTGGGGATGCCGTGGCAGAGATCGTGAGCCAGTGCGGCACTCCCCAGGGGATGAGGGCCAGAGAAAGTGAGTGATGAGATTCAGGAAGAAGTATAGACGCCTTAGACGGAGGTGCAGAGCAAGCTCAGGCCTGGTAAACAGGATGCCTAGATGAGTCAGGCAGCGGGTTGGGTCCTGAGGATAGAGAGAAATGATCAAGTCTCTGTCCTCGTGGGCTCCATAGACTAAACCAAATATCTGAGTAATTTCAAATGATGTTGTCATAATCATGATAGAAATAATACAAAAACCCAAAACAGGGTCCCTGAGCTTATTAAGAGCTGAGGAAGCTTAGTGAAAGCTTCTTGGGAATGGATATTTCAAATGAAATTTAAAAGAGAGACGAGCATAGTAGGCAAGGGGTTGGGGAGCAGGGTCTGTTCTAAGTACACTATGATACAGCAAAAAGAGAGAGAATACAGATTTATAGCATAGATGGAAAAGAAGCAACAGAATAAAGAAAAGGTGGCTTTCCTGGGGAAAAAAAAAGTCACCTGTTAGCAACATAATAAAATAGAGAGGTAAGCCAAGACTAGCGCCATCAAGGCAATCCCTTTGGCCTGGAAGTTTACGCCTATTCTAAGGTCCTTCTTTTCTTTGCTGTCTCTTTCTTGAACTTGCCATCTATCTTGCATTCTTGAAAAAAAGTGGAAGTGTTAGTTGTTCAGTCGTGTCCAACTCTTTGTGACCCTGTGGACTGTAGCCTGCCAGGCTCCTCTGTTCATGGCATTCCNTGAGAGCAGAGAGATTTTTCAAAGAAACAAACGCACTTACGGCACTCCATTAAGACTACGGAACATACTTTTGTCATGAGAAAAAAGTAAATAGCTTCAAAACAACAATATAAAAAGGAATCCCATTATAATACATGTAGGAGGAATACGGGGTTTTACAGCGAGTGGCAACTTTTAATAGTGCATTCTGAAGATTAACAAATGAAAAGCAGACTCACCTTGACGGAAGTCTCTGTATCAGAGTGTTAGTAATGAAATTAAAATGTAGAAACTGTTTTTGAAAGTCTCATGGGGTGATTCACATTTTCAGATGGACACTGCAAGCACCTCGTGGCATACATTAGATTTCAAACTAGAAATAGAGCAGTTCTTATTTCCCATTTAATCTAATGTACACATTATTTGCCAAGTGCCTTTCATGGTTCAATCACTCAGTTAAAATAAGTTGAGTTTGATTTAACTGCCTAAGATTTTCATAAATATTTTCTCTACTCCAATTTTATCACTGGTGAGTTCATGAAATATATAAGCCTCAGAGAGGATGGTATAAATGCTTTGCAGTATTTATTAAGGCTCCTATTTTCTTATAGTATTTTCAGTTTCTTATACTGTAGTTTCTTATAGTTCCTGTCCATATCGTCTTCTTACATGCCAGATTTCAATAAAACGTGTTTTCAAGTTATATCCAGTATGCTCCTTGGAATGCTTTTGGTGGCCTCTTGTTCAAGAAGACAGACAGAAACACAAATCGGTTTCACTGCAAATCCTGGTTTGGCACTAGGGAATCACTAAACTTCGTGAAATGTGTCGACTTGGAGAGCAAGTGAGGAAACAATGGAACAGAGTTAAAACGGAGACTTCACTTCATGGAGCAGGTTCACAGCTTTCCCTCTGCTCTGTTCCTGCAGAAGCTAATGAATACTTAGCCTCATTTTCTGAGTCACACCAACCCAGAGGAAGCCTAATGTCCACACTGGATGGAAGTTGATCCAATCTGATAAAATGATTATTCATCTCTATATCCTCTGTGGTTCTTCAAGCCAAGTTTGCTTCCACGACAGAATTAATATAAAAAAAACAACTAGCCACAGCTTGACAGAACTCTAACTTCAGTCATTTTATTTATACCTAAAATAGTCCTCTATCATAAACTTGGTTTGGGAAATCCATCCTGGAAACAGATTTCACTTTGCTTACAACACAGTGCATCATAGACTCCTGGGAGTCCAGCCTGAATAAGGACAGCAGAATCAGAACCCCTACGAGAAAGAAACGCTACTACCAACGTACAAGAAGCCTTCCAACCCTTTTAAAAAATAAAAACCCTATTTAACCTTGCACACTGGTTTATTATGCAATATTAAAGATCAGTCCTGGGTGTTCATTGGAAGGACTGATGTTGAAGCTAAAACTCCAATACTTCGGCCACCTCATGCAAAGAGCTGACTCATTTGAAAAGACCCTGATGCTGGGAAAGATTAAAGGCAGGAGGAGAAGGGGATGACAGAGGATGAGATGGTTGGATGGCATCACCAACTCGATAGACATGGGTTTGGGTGGACTCCGGGAGTTGGTGATGGACAGGAAGGCCTGGCGTGCTGTGGTTCATGGGGTTGCAAAGAGTCAGACACGACTGAGCGACTGAACTGAATGCATATTTTACCATAGATGACTTTTACTCAAAGACAATATTTTTTTTTCTTACTTTACATTCTCCATTTAACCCTTAGACTGTAGCAGACATCACCAGGTGGGAGCTCATTTCGGAATGGTGGACTCGTGGATGTATGTGGACCCTGTCCACTCTTCCTGCCACGGCAGTCGGCACAAAAGTCTCCCAGCCTCAGTCCTGCCCAGGGTTCCCCCGTGGCCCCACACGGAGCCTGGTGGGCTACAGTCCATGGGTTCACAAAGAGTAGGACACAACTCAGCGACTAAACAGTTAACAACAATATGCATATACATATTATATGCACATATATTGTGTACACACACACACACACACACACACATATATATATACACAATACCAAAACACAGAAACATTGCCAAGTATGAAGAAATTAAATGTATCTTTTTCACAGGTAACAAATTTGGAAATGAAGCGTTTCAATGCACAGAAAAACACACATAAATGCAAAACTCACCGGTTGACCTCCCCACCACCTATGGTTAAATTTCTCTCGCCCTCGAAGATTGAAATGTGCATCAAATACAGGATCATACATGGAATTACCAACAATTCCATGTGATTCTGGATACAGCCCCTTTGTGGAAAAGCAAATTTATTGTCAAAATAATCCACATGTAATAATAGTTCTATCATAAATTTTATCATAGAAGGTTTTATAACAATATGTAATTTCCAATTTTATATGATATATATAACTTTTACATGTCTGTCAGAGGAAACATGACTATTATCTATACACTAGTTGTAAGCCATTGTGAAACTTGACATGATTATAAGAAATTTAACATTGAAGTTTTTTTTAACTGTTGCAATTTAATAAGATGACAACAATTTTTATTACAATAAATTAAACTATAGATTGAAATTTACTTATGTGTCTCCAAAGAAGCTTCTATTTCTAAATACACTATTCCTTTTTCCTTGGTTCTATTTCTACTCCAAGGCAAAAAGAAATAAACAAAATAAATAAATTATATTTTTTAAAGAAGAAACCGAGGTAGAATTTATGAGCAGCTGAAAATTAAAACATAGCAGCTCCAAAGTCAATGCTTTTATTTGAAAACTCAGAAACTAAAGAATAGATCCTGTGGTATCTGAGAGGTTGGACGAATATATTCAGACAGAATTGCACCTGGGGAAAAAAAGGGTTTTAAAGTTGCAATGAAGTTCAGTCATTGACAAAGTTGTAAAGGGCATTTACTATGACAATTGATAAAGGTAAGATGAAAAACAGAAAGATTTTCTCTTAACACTAAGGAACATGGTTTTAAAATTTCCCTTTAAGTCATTTCAGGATGAAATCAGCCCTTTGAATCTACACCATTTGAAAGAATACTTACAGTGGCCAAAGTGTATAAGTTAGGGAAAGTTTTTGTTGGGTACACAGGCCTCATGTAGGGAGAGTGAGTGCCACAAGACCCTGGAGACAGAATTCAGGTATTAGAGCAAGAAAAACAACAGGAAACCCTCCCCGGGGAGACCCATTCTACGCACAAAGACACGGGCTCTCTTCACTCTTGAATTTCAAATGGGAAGGCCGTGTGCCCAGACATCTCAGAACCGACAGCTGAGGGTTACTGGGCGGGTCGCGGATCACAGACAGGAACGCAGGACAAGAATGACTTACTCAGCTTTTCAATGTTAGGCATGACCTTGCTGCCTTTCTTCATGTACGATGCGCGGAAACCGTCCACAGAGAAGATGATCAGTGGAGGGCGAACAAACCTTAAACGGTAACACGATAAACTTCAGACAGATAACGTCACAGAGTTGGCACTGTGCTTAGTCCTTCTTAGCAGAAGAACCGAGAATTTCTAAAGCAAACCTTCAGTTAGGGTATCTCTACGAGCCTGGGCTTTCAGCCACATGACATTTGTGGGAACTTCAGTGCAGAGTGAAATGACCCGGGAAGGAGCGGGACTCCAAATATTATATTTTAATATATTACATTATATTATAATGCTATATTAACATATTTATCTTCTTCATTAGTTTCAAAGCACAGTTCGTGTCTTATTCATCTTTCTATTTTATGGACCTATTGTAGGGCTTCAATAATTTATCAAATACAGAAGGAAGGGAGGAAGGAAAATGAAATTAATAAGCAGTAGCAATCATATCACTAGACTAGACACCAAAAATTCTAAGTTTAATTACAAAATGATTGTGAAAATAATTAAAACTGTTGAAGATCTCTAAAACTTAATCAATAAAGAACTAGACTATCCATCTAACGAGGGCAGGACTGATGAACTAGGCTCTTTGTTAGAGTCTAAAGTTCCAGTTGTTCGATCAAATCTGAGAATGCTAAACTTTGTGGAAAACTGTGTTTAATGGTTTGCAGACTATTCCTCAAGCACAAGCTTGCATTTATTTGAAGACACATAACAAATGAGTCTGACTCTTGCAACCCCATGGACCATGGCCTGCCAGGCTCCTCTGTCCATGGATTCTCCCGGCAAAAACACTGTAGTGGGTTGCTGTTCCTGTCTCCAGGGGATCTTCCCAACCCAGGAGTTAAATCCTCGTCTCCTGTGTCTTCTGCATTGCAGGCAAATACTTTACTACTGAGTCATGCGGGAAGCCCATATTTAAAATGAGTCACATACTAAGTACTTAGAATAATTCTATGAGTTCATTACTATCATCACTGTTATCATTTAATGATTTTACCACTTGGACTGCTTTCTCTTCCAAAAATAACCAAACACATTTTAAACATTCAGACACTACTGTCATCCCATTCTAATAGCCCAAAGAAGCTCAAGTAGCTCATGAAAGTTAAAAAGGAGACAAAAATAAAAATATCTAAACTCTTGGATCTTGTGTCCCAGGCTGTGCTACCTAAAACAAAAAGATGTTCAGTCACATACACTCATGAAAACACGTTTGTAGAACATCTTATTTTCTGCCAGGCACTTTAAGGGTCCATGGATTTGCGGCAGTTTCCGGGAAGGCATCATAAGCCCCCTATGCTGGTCCCACTTCAGCTGTGGGGTGTCACTAGGTCTGGCTGGACCCCAGCAAAGCAGTGCAGTGGCGGTTTGCCAACTTCCTGCAGCATCTGGTAGGAGTTACCATCTTGGATATTTTCGAGAAGCTCTGGAGTCCTCCCTCCAGCCACCCCACCACCACGGCCGCCACCAAAAAAAAAAAGCAAAAGGAGCACTTCAGGAAAAAAACACAGAAAAACCAAATCGATGCCAGAAATGTTTCTCTTCCCCTTCAGTATTATTATTATTGTCATTTCTAAAATCTTCAGCTGAGGTGAGATACAGAGGATATTGTTTCCAATATGTGCAGAGGCGATAGGAGAAAAGTTTTTAAAAAACATTTCTTTTATTTTTTAAATTTTTTATTGAGTTCTAATTCACATCTCATACAATTCATTTGTTTTACTTGTATGACTCAATGATTTTGGGTATTTTTACAGAGTTGTGTAACTATCACCACAGACATAGAGTTGATTTTTTGTTTTTTCTCATTACACCATTTGGCATGTGAGATCTTAGTAGCCAGACCAGGGATTGGACCTGCACCCCCTATGGTGGGTGCCTGAAGGTCTTAACCACTGGACTGCCAGGGAAATCCCAGTAGAAGAAAATTTTTAAAAAAAGAAATTCTCCCTTCAAGATGTACATTCCAGCTTCTGAATGGGAAATTACACAGAAGTACTCATAAATTTGCCCATGTAAGAGGACATTGTTTTAAACCTTTTACCCATCCATAGCTTGTGATATTTTATCAACACATATATAAAATGGCATAATATTCATAAAATGCACTCACCCTGCAGGACATTCTGGGGTCTTTATTTCCTCACAGTCATCATCTACCCAATGAGACTCTCCTGTAAGGAAAAATGGGTAGACTATTGGGTGAATTGAATTATAAATGTCATCTAGAGCATTGAAGAGTATAACTGCAGAACCTGTGTCCTGTTAAATACTTGTTGTTTATGGAACGCCATCTAACAAGACCTTCAGAAATAAAGTCTAGAGTCTGTTTTGGCTTGACTACGCTACACCCATACGTGATGCGAGAGCCTAGGTTTAATAACCCCAAGTGGTGTTTACTTGAGCGTTCCGTGTCTAAATGGCTTGTAGATAAAAACACCAGTGGCGTCAGGGAACAAAATTCTATGTTTGTTTCCCTCCAGAAATAAACTGTTTGGTCATTAGACGGAACATTTTTTCCTATGCCACCAAACATCTCAAAGCCATAGAAAACATGATACAACTTCCCTTTAGCTGGGGAAAAATGTTTGGACTCCTTGGAGATGACAGATGGAAGACGGCCATAGAGCGGTTCTTCGCCAGTGGTATACGTACAACCCTCGCACTAAGGAATCTAAACCAATGCTATCTTTCATTTTTATGTTCCAGCAAGATCTGAGAGCATAAACCTATGCCATTCTTGAGTCACTTCATCTGGAGAAGAGGGCAGGAACAGAGATGCAGAGAAAGAGAAGGAACTTGTGGACACGGGGCAGGGCGGGGCGGGGCGTGAGGAGGGGACACACGTGTACACGCAGCTGATTCACGCTGCCGCACACAGAGATCCACACAGCATTGTAAAGCAATTACACTCCACCTGGAAACTCACTCACTCACTAAGACCCTAGAAGAGAGAGACTAAAAAAGAGCTTAGATTTAAAAATGAAGCTTACTCTGGAGAAAACGAAAATTACCAAAAAGCATGTGCTTTAAATTTTCCTAAAACAAACAAAGCATATATCTGAAATGTAAGTAACACTTGTGACCAAGACTTTGAAGAAACTGCTCCCAAGTAAAGAGCGCTGGACATCTCCCTGGTCAGGACGAATCTAACTAGTGCCCACTGTGTCACGGCCACGCCCCTTAAAACGGAGCAGCTCTATGAACATGTGATAACCCAGGGGACACACACGAGCCACAGGCAAGTCCCACAACTAGAATTTTAAACCAGCAAAAGCCAGTGTTTCACAATTCAATAACCAATGATACCTAGAACTTTATTTTCTCTTCTAATAGCCTTTGTGGATTATTGGTAGATTTACCAGGGAAATAAAAGGGAAAAGAAAAGAAAATTCTCAACCAATTTTGTGTTTTATCAATAGCGACAACAATCATTTGGGTAGGAGAAATTTTCAAGCTCAGCATTCAGGTAGGATGTGTTGCCGTAACTAAACACTACACATATTTCAGAACTGATCTGTTCTTCCCCTAAAATATTTGAACGGAAACTCTACATAAATGTTCCATGTCACAGCTAGGAAAAGGTCTTCATTTAAACACTGAAAAGTGACCTGTAAACTTTACACAAAGGTCCTGGGATCCTTTCATTAACTTGGCTAAGCGGTTGCCAGGGTGACAAACTCCTTAAAGACAGAAACGGAATCTTTTATACATTTGGCAGTCCATTGACAAGTATTTACTATTGGAAAAAAACCATCACATTCGACAATCCACCTCACCAAGTCAGCACGCACAGATACATGGCTCTGGGGCGTAATGAGAGCTACGGTTTAGGCCCCCTCCTCTTCAGCAGCAGTGCTCCCATCCTGGGGCTCGAGTGGTGAAGAGCCCGCTGCCAATGCAGGAGGCGTAAGAGACGGAGTGTTGATCCCTGGGTGGGGAAGATCCCCTGGAGGAGGGCATGGCCACCCATGCCAGGATTCCTGCCTGGAGAATCCCATGGACGGAGGTGCCTGGGGGGCTACAGTCCAGAGGGTCGCACAGAGTCGGACACGACTGAGGGACTCAGTATGCTCACACTCCCACCCGAGGCTGGTGTTGGGCCGAGGCTCACCGCTGACAGCCGGTGGGCACAGAGCCGTGCCCCCAGCTGCAGACGTAAGAGCTCTGAGGCTCACCCTCCGGAGCCCGAGGAGGGCACAGCCAGGGGACCCGAGCCCCGAGCCACAGCCTCGCTCACCTGCCCCTCCCCACACCCCTCCTCCCTCAGGCGGTCCTGCAGAGACCTTCCCCGAGAGTTCGCTGGACAGCACTCCCATCTCAGGCTCTGCTTCTGGGAAACCTGACCAAGACAGGAACTCTTTCAGAAATCTCTTCATGATTCAGTTCCGTTCAGTTCAGTCGCTCAGTCGTGTCCGACTCTTTGCGACCTCATGAACCGCAGCACGCCAGGCCTCCCTGTCCATCATCAACTCCCGGAGTTGACTCAAACTCATGTCCATCGAGTCAGTGATGCCATCCAGCCATCTCATCCCCTGTCGTCCCCTTCTCTTCCTGCCCCCAATCCTTCCCAGCATCAGGGTCTTTTCCAAGGAGTCAACTCTTCGCATGAGGTGGCCAAAATACTGGAGTTTCAGCTTCAACATCAGTCCTTCCAATGAACACCCAGGACTGATTCCCTTAGGATGGACTGGTTGGATCTCCTTGCAGTCCAAGGGACTCTCAAGAGTCTTCTCCAACACCACAGTTCAAAAGCATCAATTCTTCAGCGCTCAGCTTTCTTCACCGTCCAACTCTCACATCCATACATGACTGCTTCTGCTGCTGCTAATTTGCTTCAGTTGTGTCCGACTCTGTGCGACCCCATAGACGGCAGTCCACTAGGCTCCTCTGCCCCTGGGAGTCTCCAGGCAAGAACGCTGGAGTGGGTTGCCATTTCTTTCTCCAGTTCGTGAAAGTGAAAAGTGAAAGCGCAGTCCCTCAGTCGTGCCCAACTCTTCCCGACCCCGTGGACTGCAGCCCACCAGGCTCCTCCATCCATGGGATTTTCCAGGCAAGAGTACTGGAGTGGGGTGCTATTGCCTTCTCTGGCATACATGACTATGGGTCCCTAATTATGGAATTTGGGATAATTTCCTTGCTATTTCAGACCAGCAAAGTGCAGACTGGCCAATCTGAGAAAGAAGCCTGAGAAACGAAAAACACAGCTCACTCCCGCCAAGCCCATATCCAAGGTGTCACAGCCACAACAGCAAGGTCTCCTGGAACGTCTCCCACTTTCCCTCCTTTAAAGCTTCCGCCAGCAGAGAAAGCACGCACCTTTGCAAACCACTTGGTAGTTAGTGCAGCAGTCTCCCCTGGCCAAGCAGTCCTCTGAGCAGTGACAGGCATGGTCTTCGTTTCTTACTTCTCCGCATCTGTCCTTGGTACACTCCCAGCCGCCAGCTGAAATCGGCACAACAGAACACTTTTCACTGCAGCGCAGAAACCAAATAAAAGAGGCCACAATTGCTTACAACACTTGCCAAGAAAAAGAGCTAAAGTCCCACATCATTTAATCTGCTTGTGAAATTAGAGTTGGCCTGAGGCCTAAATGATATCTGGCATACTTACAAATAGGATGGATTTTTAGCTTTTCAAATCGGAATACAAAGTCCAATGGCATTGGGCTCCTTTGGAAAAATGGAACCCTTAACCACTTGTGAACTGTCCTAAAAGACCAATAAAATGTATGGTGTATAAAGTTTGTGAGAGTGACATTTCCCCAGGTGGTGCTAGTGGTGACAAACACGCCTGCCAATGCAGGAGATGTAAGAGAAATGGGTTTGATCCCAGGGTCAGGAAGATCCCCTGGAGGAAGGCACGGCTACCCACTCCAGCATTCTCGCCTGGAGAATCCCAGCACAGAGGGGTCTGGCAGTTACAGTCCATGGGTCACAGACTCAAACACAACTGAAGCGACTCAGCACACACCACTGTACAGCTAGCTGGCCAGAGCTGGGCTCTTCTGTTTTCCAAAGCAGTTTCACTTAAACCTGAATCGACTTGACTTAAATACAAATGATAGTGCAACTAAATGGCCTCCACCTGATATAAGATGCACCAGAGGTTAAAGTTATTGGAAGAGTGTGTGTGTGTTAGTCGCTCAGTCATGTCTGATACTTTGCGACCGCATGGACTGTAGCCCACCAAGCTCCTCTGTCCATGGGATTCTCTAGGCAGGAACACTGGAGTGGGTTGCCATTCCCTTCTCCAGGGGGTCTTTCTGACTCAGGGATCGAACCTAGGTTTCCTGCATTGCAGGCAGATTCTTCACCATCTGAGCCACCAGGGAAGCCGTGAAAAGTATAAAGCCATACTAAAAACGTTCAGTTCTGAGTGTAGACCAACCTGTGGCCCTACCTACAATTACAGGTCAAAATACCTAGTTTCAAGGAGGTCAGTTGCTAGGTTACAGATTTCTATCTGAGCATACTTGATTAGAAGCTCACAACTCTTTTCCACCAAGAAAATACCTTCAGAAAAGTAATATCTTCGTTTTAAAGAGAGTGCTGGACTTCACGCGTGACTTCTCATCCACTGGACTGTAAGCTCCACGGCAGGGAAGTCCCATCTCTCCTTTCACCACTGTAACTCCAGTACCTGAGTGTGTGCCTGGCTCAAGCCAGTGTCCATGAACATCAATTAAATCTAATTCAGAATTACCGCGAAAATAAAATACAACTCTTTAAATTCACGGTTGCTGTACTGAGAAACTTCATAGCTAATTCATTGATTCAAAAATACATCTACTATGTTTTCCATGTTCTAGGTTCCGGGGAGGTAGTGAAGAACAAGGAAGACAAGGTCCTGTCTTCATGGACCTTACATTCCAGTTGGAAAAGACAGACCATAAGCAAGTCAATTAGTCAATGAGATCATTTCAGCTTGCAGTAAGTGCTGAGAAGAAAATTAACACAGACAGAGAGTGACAGGGTGGGCTGGGTCCACTTGGCTTAGAATGGTCAGGAAAGGCTTCTCTGAGCTAAAGGACAGTTCAGATCTTCATCTCTTAAAACATGTCGTAAGTGAGAAGCAAAACTTTTAGAAAGCAATGCTGCTCTTTAGTAATACTCTACCGAGAGCTACAATTGCTATGTGAATAATTGGATAAGCACATATTAGTTGCCATACTAGAGAATCATGCAACTACTGTTTAATTTCCATATTTTACAATTACTCTTGCATCCTGATTCCATTCTCTGATATTTTTTATAACCCCTGTTTCCACTGCCTTCTCTTTCCCAGCAGATTAAATGCTTGGAATTTCTCTACCCAGGATCTGCTATTCTCAGTGGTTAGCAATTTTCCAAGGTTATGTTGATGGACAGAGGTCATGTGAGGTTTTTCTTCCTCAATTCAAAGATAATTCTTCCAACCAAAACACTTTTTAAAAATTTGTTACTTTTGCCATGTAATCTTTTAAGCTGATATGTTGTAGCTTCAGTTTTCTTTATTCAGTTCAAGAAATTTTCTTTCCTTTCCTTTCGGCCACATGGCATCTTAGTTCCCCAACCAGGGACCAGACCCAGCGCCCCCAACACTGGACCCAGAGGCACAGCCACAGGACCAGCAGGGACGTCCCCAACAAAAATATTTTTATTCCTCCCCTAGTTCCATAAAAGGGCATCCCTGGTAAAGAATCCTCCTGCTAATCCAGGAGCTGCATGCTTGATCCCTGAGTCAAGAAGATCCACTGGAAGAGGGCATGGCAACCCATTCTATATTCTTGGCTGGGAAATCCCATGGACAGAGGCACCTGGTGGGCTACAGTCCACGGAGTTGCAAAGAGTCAGACACAACTTAGCAACTAAACAACAAGTCCCATATGAAAATCCCTTTACTTACAAAAGAGCATCACTATTAACAAGCTAGATATAGTGAGGCATGACTAACTTGGCATAAGACTGAAATTTTTAAAAATTTAGTGAACCTCAAGCAAGGTAAGATTATGTATAATTTTAAAAGCAACTATAAGAATAAACAAAAATATTTAACCTTATTAGATAATAATAGTTATAAATAATTGTTATAAATGAGAACATGCTGAAAGGGCCTGTACCCTTTGAGAGAAATATAAACTTTGAGATGCATAATTATGTTACATTTATTTACATTTAAGAAATGCATATATACTTTGTCTGGCCCTAGGTGAGTGTGAGTGATCACACCATTGTGATTATCTGGGTCATGAAGATCTTTTTTGCACAGTTCTTCTGTGTATTCTTGCCATCTCTTCTTAATATTTTCTGCTTCTGTTAGGTCCATACCATTTCCATCCTTTATTGTGCCTATCTTTGCATGAAACGTTCCCTTGGTATCTCTCATTTTCTTGAAGACATCTCTAGTCTTGCCCATTCTATGGTTTTTCTCTATTTCTTTGCATTGATCGCTGAGGAAGGCTTTCTTATCTCTNGTCCTGGGTGTTCATTGGAAGGACTGATGTTGAAGCTGAAACTCTAGTACTTTGGCTACCTGATGTGAAGAGCTGACTCATTTGAAAAGACCCTGATGCTGGGAAGGATTGCGGGCAGGAGGAAATGGGGACAACAGAGGATGAGATGGTTGGATGGCATCACCGACTCGATGGATATGAGTTTGGGTAAACTCCAGGAGTTGGTGATGGACAGGGAGGCCTGGCGTGCTGCGGTTCATGGGGTCGCAAAGAATCGAACATGACTGAGTGACTGAACTGAACTGATAAAAACTTTGATCCCCAAATCCCATTCCTCAGAATGTATCCTAAGGAAAATAGATGAAAGTATGAACATGCATGAACAATATTCATTGGTGCATTGTTCATAGTAGCAAGAGTTAGGGGAAACATAAATGCTGATCACTCACTCAATGAAGTAGGTTGCATCTGTTCAATGGAATATGATATAGGCATTCAAAAGGATGACATGTATAAAGGTACATAAATATAGATACACCCTCACACAGGCATAAACATATGCAAATATAAATACATACACACATATGTTTTAAACCCCCTGATGCTGGGAAAGACTGAGGGCAAGAGGAGAAGGGGGCAACAGAGGACGAGATGGCTGGATGGCATCACCAACTCAATGGACATGAGTTTGAGCAAGCTCCAGGAGTTGGTGATGGACAGGGAGGCTTGGTGTGCTGCATGCAATTCATGGGGTCGCAAAGGGTCAGACATGACTTAGCAACTGCACAGCAAATGCATTCTAAACACGTGACACTGTCCGAGTTTGCACTGAAACACTGATTGTGCTCGTCTCTGGGTCAGCAGAGTGGTATCTCAGAGATCCTTCAACCCTTCGCTATTATTTTACATTTGACTCTTCCACATTTGGCCTAAGGTATCTTTGTACACAGGAACGTGAACTACTTTAGAGTGTTATTCTAGTCTATGTTTATTAAACTTGGAAAGAAAGGGATGAGCTACATTCAGAGAGAGCTAAGCTGGAGTCAGAAGATCCGTTCAAGTTTAGAAGAAGCTCTAAGATCAGGAATTGGGATGGCTGAGATGATGTGTCAGGGACAAGATACTCAAAGTAGAGAGGAAATATGGAACATTAGCTAGTTCTTTAGTGCCAAGTAAACACAGACCACTGGTTTGAAATAATATTTTGAAGCCAAAAACTCTGCTGGAACATCTGTTCCATCCCTATATTCAGTTTACAAGGTTCTCATCATTTCAGTTTACAAACCCACAGCTCAGAGAGCTGGGAGAAGTTCCAAATGAAAAAGGAAAGGAACAACTACAAAAAATATGGCCAAACATTGGGAAAATGGGTTATGCAAAAATAAATAAATAAATAAACAGACTAAGAGCACTCTCCTTCTCTTGAGGAGGGGGGAAAATCTGAACTAGTAAGGAGTTGACACAGGTTTTCATATAAATCAGGTGCTATTCCTTTAGTAAAAGAGAATAATATATCTGCTTCTAATGTTGTCATTAGAAAAGTCAGACTTATGTTAATGATAATATGAGCTGGATTTTTGAAATAATCATCTAACCATAAAAGTCTAAAAGCAGGTAATAATTTATCAAGAGAGCTGTGGAATCTCTGTATCTAACGGTCTTAATACGACGGATTATTATTACTCAGCCACAAAAAAGGAGGGCTCCACTGGTGGCTCAGACAGTAAAGAGTCTGACTACAACACAGGAGGCCTGGGTGCGATCCCTGGGTCAGGACAAGCCCCTGGAGAAGGAAACGGCAACCCACTCCAGTGTTCTCGCCTGGAGAATCCCACGGACAGAGGAACCTGGAGGGCCACAGTCCATCGGATCACAAAGAGTCAGACAAAGACTGAGCAACCGACACTAACACTTATAAAAAAGAATAAAACTGGGTTGTTTGTAGAGATGTGGATGGACCTAGAGACTCTCATATACAGTGAAATAAGTCAGAAAGAGAAAAACTAATATCATGTATTAACATATATATGGAATCTAGAAAAATGGTATAGACAATTTTATTTGCAAAGCAGAAATAGAGACACGGACACAGAGAAGAAAAGTATGGGCACCCAGGTGGGGGAGGTGGGGGGGTGGCACGAATCGGGAGACGGGGATGGACCTGTGTACTGCTGACACGGTGAACAAAACAGGTGACTCGTGGGAGCCTGCTGCAGAGCTCAGCGAGCCCTGCCCAGCGCTCGGAGCTGACGACCCGGGAGGGAGACGAAAGGGGAGACACAGACACACAGATAGTTGGCTCACGTTGCCGTGCAGTAGAAACTAACTCAGCTCACTAAAGCAACTACCGTCGCTGTCCTGTTGCTAAGTCGTGTCTTTGCAAGCCAATGGACTGCAGCCTGCCGCGTTCCTCGGCGCTCAGCCTTCCTTATTCAACTCTCACATCCGTACATGACCACTGTAAAAACCATAGCCTTGGCCAGACGGACCTTCGTCAGCAAAGTGATGTCTCTGCTTTTTAATATACTATCTAGGTTTTTCATAGCTTTGTTTCCAAGCAGCAAGCATCTTTTAATTTCAAGGCTGCAGTGATTTTGGAGCCCAAGAAAATAAAATCTGTCATTGCTTCCACTTTTTCCAAAAAATGATATTTTACAAAATGACCTTAAGAGCAGGGTTGCTCGTCACCTCTCCCATAGAGTCTGAACAGGATGCTGCCCAGAGGTATGGGGGCGGGGGGACAGTAATCTACAAGGTGACTGCAAAGTCTCACCTAAAGTGTTAGACTTTGGAAACAGCATGTAGAATGAGTCCCCAAAGGTGATTTTCTCAACTAATGCATGTTCAGAGACCAGTGTATTCCACTGACCCTTCTATTAGAGAAGCAATATAACAAAGGTCAGGAACTCGTGGAGGAAGACTTTAGAGCTGCCTTGAGCGTGCAACCCCAAGAATTCCAAAATGATCTGGGACTTCCACTGAGAAGAAGTAATGACCTCAGAGTACACCCATCGTCACAATACGATAAGATGAAACAAACCAAATGTTACAAACTGAGCAGGCAAGCAAAAATAATGCAGTTAAAACAGACCCCCAAAAGGGCACAGGTATCCTAGCAGTGAGTGAGGGAACTGAGAGCAAGAGATAGAAATCATAAAGATGAAAGAAAAAATAACTTGTCATAAATATCCCAAACTGCTACGTGACGACTGCAGCTGCGAAGAATTCTCTTTGGGCTGAGTCTTGTGTGGATACAATGGTCATACAGAGTGTGCTCCTAACACAACTGACAGTGACCCCAGGAACAAAACGAACCCCACAGTTTGTTTGTCCGAAGCAGGGTGGCAGCGGCAGGCTGCTCAACAGCAGGGGGCTGTTACGCCAGCTAACCAAGACTAGAGCGGCTTCAAAGGTACGTACCTGTCTTCAGGCAGAGCTCGTCAAAGTCAAGGCAGCAGCTGCTGTAGCTCTTACACAGGTTGTCGCAGCGACAATCGGGGGGTCCGGCCTCTTGAAGCTCGAAGCATCTGCCCTTGCAAGAGCCGGAGATGTTGATCGAGGGGGAGTCTGATAGCACTGCGAGACACAAGAGGCAGGGCAGTGGGGTGAGGGCGTAGGCCACGTCACTGGGGGCTTCCCCTGTGGCTCAGACAGGAATAATCCACCCGCAGTGCGGGAGACCTGGGCTCCATCCCTGGTTTAGGAAGATCCCCTGGAGAAGGGAAAGGCTGCCCACTCCAGGATTCTGGCCTGGAGGGCTCCATGGACAGAGGGGCCTGGCGGGGTACGGTCCACGGGTCACAGAGAGTCGCACGACTGAGCGCCTTTCCTGTCACGTCACTCTGGCAGGGGGCCCTGGGCAGGAGACTGCCGGGACGCAGGAAGACTCAAGCTGAGCAGCCCGGCTCCATCTCCTGCTGGCTGTGAACCGCAGCAGGTCCCCTGCGCCAGCTTCCTCATCTGTGCAGTGGGGAGACCAATAAAAGCAACTGGAGGCCATCATGAGAGTTAAAGGAGATATTGAGCAAGGTGTCAGCCATATAGAAAGCAACAGATGTTGGCTACTGCTTTTACTACTATTCACAGTGATTGTTACTACAAATCTGTGTTTCTGTGGATGTTGTGATGCCAACAGAGAACAGTACTTTGAAGTCTACACTTAGAAGTGTTCATTCCCCTGTTCAAAAGTCCACAGCTTTTGTAAGGAACGTGCATGCATGCCCAGCTGCTCAGCCATATCCAACTGTGTGCGACCCATGGCCTGTAGCCCGCCAGTCTTCTCTGTCCACGTGATTTTCCAGGCAAGGACACTGGAATGGGTCGCCATTTCCCACTGCAGGGGATCTTCCCGACTCAGGAATCGAACCTGTGTCTCTTGCATCTCCAGCATTGGCAGGCAGGGTTCTTTACAACTGTAACCGGAGAATTGAGTCTGAATGCTCTGAGAACAGTCTGAACAGATGGGGTTGAAATAAAAGACTTTTAAGATCTCTTCCAGCTGTAAAACCTACAAACGTAACTAGAGTTATACACATGTCAACTCTACAATCTTGGAGAAAGAAAGGATTAATCAAGGCGTGAAAAAAAATTAATCAGTAAGTAGTGCTAGGGTAACAGGCTGGCTGGAAAAGTTAAGCTGGATCCTCATCCTAGCTCACAAAGCAAGTCAGATCTGCACAGGTCAGTATGGAAAGAGCTACAAAATGGATAAACATGTTTTTTGAAACAGCAAAGCATGGAAAACTATTCTGGTCGACCCAGGGATCAAACCCAGGTGTCCTGAATTGAAGGCAGATTCTTTACCATCTGAGCCACCATGGAAGCCCTGGTGGTAGCTAGTATATATCATATTTTCTGTTAGAAACAGAGAGAGAGAAAGCAAGAGAGATAAGCATAAGATAAAGTCAGAGGCCAGAGCTAGAGATGAGAGAGTGGGTGGGAACAGAAGCATTGAGACAGGTACCAAAGTGAATCTGGAGGAGGACACGGCACCCACCCCGGCATTCCTGCCTGGGAAACCCCATGGACAGAGGGGCCTGTGGGCTACGGTCCATGGGGTCACAGCGAGTCGGACATGACTGGGCACACAGCACACGCCAATTTGAATAACACTTTTCTTCACTGTAAAAAATTCTTACCAGAAATTATATTTGGAGAAATCAGAAAGACAAGAAGGAAACTTCTCACTCTTCTGCAGTTTGAAACTTGTTTTACAAATGTCTTTTTGTTTTTTTTATGTTCCACTTGCTTACTTCTGCCTCTCATGCATATATATAACATATACCTATATGTGTCTAAGTAGACATACATGTGAATCTATGTACATAAAGGATATATTATACAATATATAAATACCCTACAAATATTATTTATGTTACTTTAGTTCCTTGTTTATGTTTATGAATTTTCCATTTTTTATAATAAGAATCCATTACTTATAAAATCAAGAAAACACCAGAGGCAGGGAGAGAACAGATATTTAATGACATTTCTAGGTTCACCAAAGCCATTTATCTGAACATCCTGTTCATCTGTTAATTCTTTGTCCTCTTTCAAGTCAGAGTCACCCAATCCTAACCTGTACGACATTAGATCAGTTCAACTAAAGCAAACAGATTCACCTGACCACGAGATGTGAAACGCTTTTGCATGGTTGATTCTGGGATCTTCAAAGACATACAAATCACCCCCGTTCAGTTGAATAATATCAGGTTTCCAAGGCAATACCTTACCTCTGGTTCACAAACCACATTTTTCTATTGACTTTGCCCAACCAATCAACAGACATACTGAACCCCGAGAACTATGAGAGGAGGAGGGTTGAGCAGCAGAGAAAGGAAAAATAAAGTTCTATGGTGAAAAGTGAATGCAAGAAAAATGCTTATAATTGAAACATTCTTTTTAAGGATACTGCTTAGAATCATTCCATCATCCATCTATCATGATAAATTCTGAGTAGAATTTGTGCTCATGAACTGCATATATAAGCACACTTAGCTATCCTTAGAGCTGGGATAATCAGAAGAGCTTCAAAGGCACATTGTTCGCAGATGCTCACCCGTCCCGTCTCCTCTGTGGCATCCCAGCCAACACGTGACGTTTTCCTCCATTCACGCCCTTTGCTTTCCCCTCATCATAATCTCTTCCTTTTTCCTATTTTTACTTTCAAAAGATTTGTGTAAATTTCTAATCATTTTAAACCTTTCTCCATTCATTCTATCAGTGATTTTTACTCCTTCCTTCCAACAATAGTTATTCTCTAAGTTTACCACTCACTTTGCTTTTGAAAATAATTGAATTTCACACAATAGCTTGCCCCTATCCAATTATCATCTTCCTTGCCAACCCTTAAACTGACGACAGCTTTGTTAGGAAAGAGCCGCACTTACACTCATAATGCAAAGATACAGCTCATAAAAAGTACTGCACTCAATATGGGGTTACTAATAGCTTTCAGATAAGACTGAATTTCTGGGCTGGTGCGCATTAGGGATTATCGCTGCTTCGTTGCCAAGTGTGTGCGACTCTCGAACCCCACGGACTGTAGCGCGCCAGGCTCTTCTGTCCATGGGATTCCCAGGCGAGAATACTGGACTGGGAATACTAGTTCCTTCTGCAGGGGATCTCCCTGACCCAGGAATCAAACCTGGGTCTCCGGTGTCGGCAGGAGACTCTTTACTACTGAGCCACCAGGGGAGCCCATGGATTAGGGATACATATGCCAAACTCATTCCCGGCTGGCTGAGATTCGGCTGAGAACGGCAGGAAGAGAAATAGGAAGGTGCACGACGGAGCCATTTATCAACGCGTCTTCAAAGCCAGTAAGTCCAAGAGCGGAACGGCCGCACCCTTTTTTACCAAAATAAAGTGACAGAACAAAGTTCACCCGGCCTTTCCAGGGCCTGTTCCGCCCCTGCCATCTTCCTTCAGAACGACTCCCAGCCCTGATTCTCCGCAGCTCGTCCCCACGAGCCGGCTCTTTCATCCCGCCCGGGTCCCGGGCCCTCGCCCCGCCCAGGCCGAGCTCAGGTTTTAGGACTGCTCTTCTTGTACCTGATTGAGTAGTCAGAAATGGAAAGATTCTGACTTCTTACACTTTAATTCTAAAATCTGTAAAGCCCTCCTTTATCAGAACTGAAAGCCTCAGAAGTAACGAGAAAGACAACAAGGAAAACAAAGTCTGTACTGAGTGAAGTAGGGTCAGAAAGAGAAAAACAAGTACCGCATAGTAACACAGATATGGGATCTGGAAAAATGGTACCGGCACCTATTTGCAGGGCAGGAACAGAGACGCAGACATGGAGAACGGGACTGTGGACACGGCCAGGGCAGGGCAGGTGGGGCGGAGGGGCATGGGGCATAGACGTGACCACGGGAAAAACCGACTGCCCGCGCAATCGCTGCGGAACTCAGGGAGCTCAGCCGGCGCTCTGCGACCCCCCAGGGNGGGCGGGGCCTGTGGACACTCGGGGACGGTTCACACTGATGGGGGAAGGGGGGAGATGCACACAGGCAGGGCCTGTGGACACTCGGGGATGGTTCACACTGATGGGGGAAGGGGGAAAATGCACGCGGGCAGGGCCTGTGGACACTCGGGGACGATTCACACTGATGGGGGAAGGGGGGAGATGCATGCAGGCGGGGCCTGTGGACACTCGGGGACGGTTCACACTGATGGGGGAAGGGGGGAGATGCACACAGGCAGGGCCTGTGGACACTCGGGGATGGTTCACACTGATGGGGGAAGGGGGAAAATGCACGCGGGCAGGGCCTGTGGACACTCGGGGACGATTCACACTGATGGGGGAAGGGGGGAGATGCATGCAGGCGGGGCCTGTGGACACTCGGGGACGGTTCACACTGATGGGGGAAGGGGGAAGGTGCCCGCCGGTGGGGCCTGTGGACACTCGGGGACGGTTCACACTGCTGTGAGGCAGAAGGCAGCATGACACCGGAAAGCAATTATTCTCCAATTAAAAATAAATTAAAAAGAAATCTGTCCTAAGTGTGATGGGGGTTTGAAACTTCATGAGGCACTTGCCAGCACTTTTATGAGATTCAAATGCTATTCTGCCTTTTGAATTACGTATTTAAATGATATTGTTTCACTTCAAAGGAACAAGTCAGTTCCAGAATCTTAAAAAATAAATGTCACAGGTCTACAAAGACAGAAGTTTTCTTTAGAGACTTTAAATTTTAAAATATGTGTATATGTGATGTGCATAAAAGCAATGCTGTAAGTTCCTTACTTTTCCCAGAAACGCAATTTCATGATTTAAAAAACCCACCAATGTAAAATTGGATCTATCGCATTCAGACTCATAATTCTGAGAGAAACAAGTGAAATTTTTTTTACTTAGCTAAGTAAACCTTCTTTCTAAAACATTCCGTCTTACCATACCTACACAGAGGTAGCACTGTGGAATTCTGGTGCCATTTATGCACAGAAAAAAAAATTATTGATAGTTTAATTTGACTATTTGAAAAAACCTAATTCATGACAAGAGCTGTGACCTAAACATTATTTCATCCTGGACTCCCAATCACACTTCCCGCCAAATCTCCCTGCAGAATGG